CAGCGGCGCTGCTTGCGGGGCTGCTCCTCGCCAGGGTCGCCCTCGCCGTTAGCCTCGCTCTCGGTCAGCAGGCGCGCGTACAGCCGCTGCCAACCCTGCGCGGCCTTGGCCCCGCCTCCGGGTCCGCCCCCCGATCCGGCCCCGCTCCCCGCGCGGCGCCCCTCCTCCTGCAGCCGCGCGTCCAGCAGCAGCAGCAGGACCAGGATTTTCTTCATCTCTCTCGCGCGCGCGCCTTCGCGCGTCTCAGCGCAGTCGCCCGCCCCTCGCAGCATGGGCGCCGCCGCCGGGGCGCCGGATGCGTTTTCACCCGACCGGCCGGGCCGTGCGCCAGGGCCTGCCGCCGCCGCCTCGGCCAGCTGCTGCCGCTTGTCCAACCGGAAAAGCAGCACGATCTTGGTCTGGGGGTGGGTGGGCGGGAGGGAAGGTCGCGCCTGCGGAGGAGCGCACCACCCTCTAGAGCCCGTCTCCTCCCAGGAACTGTTATATTTCTGGGACCTTTGTCATCTTGCCACGCGTGGGAGTGCGGGGACCTCATCGGGTCCTGGGAAGGCGCACCCGCGTGTCCCCACTAGAGGTCAGGGACCCTCCCCACCCCACTGGCTTGCCGGGACCCCGCCATCCCCTCTGGAAGCCCTCACCCGCCCAGACCGACCTACTGCCGGGGTCCCTGCCTCCCCTCCAGCCTTGATGCCTGGGGCTCTCACCCACCTCAGCCTGGTCAAGGGCCTCTCCCCAGGTGAAGAGGCGGAAAGTGGTATGTTTTGAGCCTGCGGTCTGGAGAGAGGGCACAAGGGAATTCCCTGTGTCACAGCCACAGTGGTACCAACGAGGGCTACTTCCCCATGCCTGACCTCCAGGCCCATTTTTGTCCAGGGTCGGGGGAACCCCACTTCTGTCCATCTTCCTGGGCTCACAGATCTTGTAGACCCTTCTAGGTTTTGGAACCCTTGCCCTCCCTTCTGGGCTTTCAGGACCCCCACACCCACCCATGTGGACTTCTGGAACCTCTGTCCTCTGGAGGGATGCTGTAACCCCTCTAGGACTTCTGCCTACAGGCCCACACTTAGAGCATCCCCTTCTGTCCAGGACTTCCTATTCCCACCCCCTACTTGTTCCCCCACCTCCCCAAACTCACACTTGGCTTCTTCCGCTGGAGGTGGCTGGAGAACTGTTTCCGCCGGCCCTTGTCCATGTCCGGTGGCCTCTCCTTGTGGGCCTGCTTGGGTGCTTTGGTCCTCTTGTGGGAACTGTTGTTTCCCATGGTAGGGCTGGTTACCACTGGGGGCCACAGCCCATGCTGCCTCTGCCCTGCCCTCTGACCTGGGGCCCTGCAGGGGGGTGGGGTATAGGAGGGAAGCTACATTGTGACCTCATGGGTCCACCTCACCAGCTGGACTCCAACCTCCTGCTCTCAGAACCTCCAGGTGAATCTGGGCTCCATTCACACTGTCTGTGACCTCTGACCTTGATTTCCCAGCTGTAAAACTGGGCAAATGACCATCAATGAAACAGTGCTTGTAAGGAGCTTGGTGGTGAGTGGAAAGGCATTTTTGTGGCTTGGCTTTGAAATCTGGCCCTGTCACTAACTAGCTGTGTGACCTTGAAGGAAGAAATCAACCTCTCTAGACCTCAATCTTCTCATCTGCAAAATAGGGTCGGTTATGGTTCCTGTAAATTGTTATGAAGGTTAAGTGGAATTATTCCTAGGATAGTGCCTGACACGGAGTGGGTGCTTGAGCCAGCTAAGTTTTTTGATTGCAAGTCACGGAAACTGTTCAAACATCTTCAGCACCGAAAGGGAGTTCATTGGAAGGATTTCATGCAGACAGAAACACTAGCCTAAGAAAAATATGACTCCATCCCTCTTTCTCCAGGACTCCCATCATGGGTGTGTGTGTGTGTGTGTGAGAGAGAGAGAGAGAGAGAGAGAGAAATAGATATGGGGCTGAGGAATTCTCAAGACATCTGTGACTGCTGGGTCACAAGTGGGCAGATTCCTTATTAGCAGTATATTTGACAAAAATGTCGACAGTTCTCCTGGTATTGAAACTCTTGTGCCGGGTACTGGGCCCAGTCCTATGTAGGAATTAACCGAGGGAGGCTCCCAGTAGCTCAGTGGGATGAGACTTCTCATTCCTGTTTTATAGCTGAGGAAACTAGGGCACAGGAAGGTGAAGGTGGTTGAGAAGTCTCTTTTGAGAATCCCAAAGTGGGTGGCACAGGGCCTGGCACATGGTCACACTGGGAGGAGGTGCTGGCCTGTGTGTGTGCCCGCTCACGCACAGGTGTGTGTGTGTTGTGTACAAGTCAACAGGTTATCTTGTATTGGTAACTCCAGAGAGCATGTGGTGACCTTTGGTGGCAAGGTTGAATGAATGAATACATGTGTGGACACATGTAGATTGCAAGTTTGGGGCCAGCTGGGTCAATATGGGGCCACATCACACCATCATCTTGCACCATGTGCCAAATTAGCCCTTGGATGCCTGTGACCACCACTACCAGCCCCACCCTGTGTGATTATGACGGGGCCTCACTAGCCATGCTGCCCAAGGTGGTGGGCCCAAGAGGAAGAGGATTTGAGATCCAAAAGGGCCCAGCACCCCAGCTGCCAGCTGCTTCCTGTGGGCTGGCCTCACAAGTCCCAGCAGGAGAGGCCAGGGCTGGACAAGGAAGGGTCCAGGCCCTCCCTGCCCTGAGTCTCGGTGCCCCACTGTTTGGGCCAGGTCTGAAGCTCCCCCTCTTTACACTCCTCTGTTACCCGGATGGGCATAAGGCAGCCAACCAGGGAGGCGGCTCACCACTCGGAAATACCTGCTCAGGGCTCAAGAGATGCTGTCCACTTCCTCTCTGCCCCCAGGAGTATGAGCAGGCCTCCAAGGTGGACCAGTTTGTGACACGTTTCCTGCTGCGGGAGACAGTGGGCCAGCTGCAAGCTCTGCAGAGCTCACTGGAAGGAGCGTCGGAAACCCTGGAGGTCCAGGCCTGTGGCCTGCGGTATGTGAGGGCTCTGCCAGCCTGGGGTCCAGTGCATGAATGCCCATTGTCCCTGCATTCCAGACCCCTGGTGTCATCACATTCTATAGCTCCACATCATGGAGCCCCAAGTCTTGGGCAGGTGAGGAGGGGTAGCTGCTCTGAGGAGACCTTTGCCCACTCAAGCCTGGTTCTCTCTGGGAACCTGAGTCCTTGGCCCGAGGGTCTGGGAGCCGCAGGCTGACCCTCCACTTCCCCAGGTCAAGTGAACAGAATGTGGAAGTGCAGAGCAGGCCCTGTGGCAGCCGGCGGGCAGGACGCAGGGCCCTGAGGAACATCAGCCGGTCACCGTCCTGGTCTCCTGGTTCCTCTGACATAGGTGTGCCTGGGGTAGGGTGGGAGGCCTGGCTGCATGGGGTCCAGGGCAGGCGTGGCACCTCTGTGTCCATAGTGCCTGCTCCTCCATTGCTCCAGTGGCCTCCCAGCCTCTGGGACCCACAGCTGACCCTGGCCTGGCCTCCACCCCAGGACAGAGCTCAGAGGCGGAGATGCAGTGGCGGCTCCAGGTGAACCGCCTCCAGGAGCTCATAGACCAGTTGGAGTGTAAAGTGAGTGGCCCTGTGGTCAGCACCCTTGGGGAGCATCCCTGGCATCCACCCAGGCACACTTGCCAGGGGCTCAGCCCCCATTCTGTGTCCCTTACAGGCCCCCCGGCTGGAGCCCCTGCATGAAGAGGACCTTGCTAATGGTCCTGACTCGGTGAGCCTGGGCAGAGGAAGCTGCTGGATGCTAGGGAGTAGGGGTGCTCAGGAAGTGAGGGTTTTATGGAGCCCACCCTCTGCTCTCATATGTGCCCCATTCCCCAGGTCTGGCCAGCAGGTGCTGGGTTCTGGTCCTTGCTATATAATCCTGCAGAAATCACTGCCTCTCTAACTGGACACAGTGGCACATGCTGTAATTCTAAAGACTCAGGAGGCTGAGACAGGAGGATCACAAGTTTGAGGCCAGCCTCAGCAATTTAGCCAAAAGGGGGAGGGGCTGAGGATATACTTCAATGGTAGAGTGCCCCTGGGTTAAATCCTACAGAAAAGAAACCACTGCTCTCTCAGTGTTAGCTTTCGTTCACTTATACTTCTGAAAGTCACGTCTGGGGCAGTGGATAGAAACTGAGGGGGACAATGGGTAGAAACCGAGGGGGGCAGAAGAAAGTGGTGGCATTCTGCAGAACAGGGGGACAATGGTTGGGTTAAGGCTATGATCTTGGAGGATAGAGTCAGAGACGCCAAGGGGCTTGTTGGCGGCAGGGACATAACCCCAGTGTGAGCCAGTGGGATGGGCCCAGGCCAGGAAGGGCAGAGTCCTCCCCCTGGGCCTGCCCTACTCAGCTGACCAGATGCCTCTCTCATCAGCACATCCTCGTCGCCCAGAGGCAGGTGCAGGTGGCAGAGGAAGCCCTGGAGGACTTCCACCGGGCCCTGTGCTGCTACGTGGACTTCACCAGAGCCCAGAGCCACTGTCTGCAGTGAGTCTCTGCCAGCTGGTGGGACAGCTGAGGTGGGGCGGGGGTGCATGAGAGGGATATTGGGCTGGGCGTCCTGGGCGGGGTCCTGTGAGGCCTGGCGCGGTGGCCCTGGCCTGGCCTGGTCTCTCTGGCGCCACAGTGTATCCGCTCAGAAGCTGTTGGGCAGCGCCTCCTTCAGCCTGTACGAGTTCTGGCGGGATGAAGCCTCCTGGAGAAGGTACGTGGTCCTCTGCTGGCTGACTCTGAGGTGGCCTGAGCGCCAGGTCCGCCTTCAAGCCCTGCCCTCCCAATCACTGGAGTGTGACCTCAGTTGAGCTACCCAAGCTAGCTGAGCCCATCGCCTCCATTTTAAAATGGGGGCAATAGCAGTCCAGCCTCCAGGGGCAAAATCCGATGTGTAAGGACCTGAATGCAGAGCTGAGGAGGGAGAGCGGGAGGCCCCCTCCCAGAGCCTCTCTCTCACACACACACCAGAATGCAATGCCAGGTACACAGGAGGCGCTCAGTGAGCAACACTGTTGCTGTGTGCCATGTGCACCCTATACGGGGCCTCATACATTCAGTGAAGCAGCCACTCTGACCTCCTCTACCGAGGAGAGTGAGGCCCAGCCATTATGGGAAAGGTCAGGATCTAAATCAGGCAGCAAAATGCGGTGGGGGGACCCAAGAGCAGGTGACCCTGATCCTGGAGCAGATGGATTCAGCCTTGGTCCCCTCCACGGCTGTCCCCAGGCACCAGCAGTCACCCTGCAGCAAGGCCTTCCAGCGCATCCTCATCGACCACCTGCGGGCTCCAGACACTCTCACCACCGTGTTCTTCCCAGGTGGGCTGCAGCCCACAGAGTCTCCACAGCCCTGGGACCCCCCCGGGGGGCAAGGGGCCCCTGATGGCTCCTGACCCCCGACCTCTGACCCACAGCCTCCTGGTGGGTTATGAATAACAACTGAGCCTGACCTGCTTAAGCTGAGGACCCTGAGGCCCTGCCTGTCTCCTTCTAGAGCCTTCTGCACTGGTCAACTCAACACTAAAACCAAGGATGCTGCTTTCTCCTGGAAGCCCCAGGGCCTGGCCCGCTGGGGGAGGCTCAGCCCAGGGATCGGGGACTGGGCTGCTTGCTATTTACTTATTAGTGTGAATTCTGGTCCCCTCTGCCCCTGCGTTGTGATCAGCCAGGTCCCTTCCCTCTCTGGCTGCCTAGTGGCGTCCTGCTTCCTTCCTGCTGTCTTGGGGCCAGGCTTCTGCTCTTCCCCAACCAGCAGCAGAACCAGGGCTGAGCTCAGGGACCCCCAACCCCCCAAACCTCAACCCCTGAGGTTGGGCCAGATCAGTATGGGGTAGGGACTTGGGTGTCCCCATCACCCTCCTGGGCCAGCACCAGACTTCCATCCAACACCTGAGGCTACACCACAGACCTCTGGAGGAACCTGGGCTGGTCCGCATATAATTTGCATATCATTTGCATGCTCACAACCCATCCATTCTCAGGGCACTATGGGAAGCCCCCAAGGTGACCTTGTCAAGTAGCAATAATTTGGGCTTAGAGTCACCTGCTGTCCCCAGAGACTTCTGAACCCCAGCCCACGACCCCAGCACAGAGGCAATAAAGGCAGTAGTCACCTCTCACGTTGCCTCCTCTCTCCTGCGTGGTGATGGGATCCTGCGCCTCCCTGACCAGAAACTCAGGGCAGGATACCTGTCTTCAAAATCGGTCCATTCCAAAAAAAAAATCGGTCCATTCCAGACTGGGAGTGCAGCTCAGTGTAAAGTGCTTGCCTGGCATGCCTGAGGCCCTGGATTGGATTCCCAGCACCAAAAAAAAAAAAAAAAAAAAATTCAGTCCATTCCTGTAGCAGGGATTGGTGGTACACACCTATAATCCCAGCTACTCAGGAGGCTGAGACAGGAGGACTACAAGTTTGAGGCTACCCTGGGCAGAACTTAGGGAGACCCTGTCTCAAAATAAATTTTAAAAAGAACTGGGGATGTAGCTAAGAGGTGGAGTCCCTCTGGGTTCAGTCCCCAGTGCTAAAAAAGCAAATACCCTCAGCTGATTCCTGTCTGGAGTGTCGCACCTTCAGAGTGGATGCTTCACCAGAGCTGGTACAGGTTTTCTTGGTCCAGGCCCCTGTGTCCTTTGGACCCTGGCTTTGGGGCCCTGCCTGGGAAAAGGAGTGACATGGTCCAAAATCCGATGGGAGTTGTAGCTTTACCCTACAGAGACTTCCCAGGTCTCAGAGACTTGGCCGGATTTCTGGGGAAGACCTGGCCTGACAGGACCTCCTCTGCCAGGCTTGCCACCACCACTGCCACCTGACACAGCAGATCCAGGAGGATAACGGCCAAGTCACAGAAGGACCAGTCACAGAGGGACCCCTTTGGTGGAAGGGACTGGGTAGCAGGGATTGGTGGTACACACTCCCTATAAATGGGGAGGCGTGTGGCACCCCAAGAGCATAGGATGCCATCTGACCTGGTCTGGGGTCTTGGGGTCAAGAGTTTTCTAGGCAGACCAAGAGGCTCGCCTAGGCTTTGAGGGGGAGGGGCGGGGGCCCCCTAAGCTGAGGGAAGCCCAGCAGCGGGCTGAGGCCAGGGACAGGGGAGTGAGCCGGGTGCAGCCGGGGAGGCAGGGCCCCAAAGGTGCTTCATCCTGAGGAGGCCATGGGAAGTGTTGAGCCAGGGTTGGTAGCTGGGGGGGCTGGCGTTTTACCAGTGTTCCTGAAAGCTGCTGATGTCAGGTCAGATGGTACCGGCTCCAGGGACTGCACCCCGCCCCAGCAACCTTCCCTATAGTTCCTCCCTAACGGCTCCTGAGGGTCAGTCTCTCTACCAGCCTGGCTGCTCAGGCCCAAGACCCATTGTGTAGGGTTCCTGGTGTCTCCTTGGTCAGTGCCAGGCTACCCCCGACCCTGCCCCGGCTCCCAGTGGCTCCTAGAACATGTCGCCAGCATCTGTGCCACACACGGCACCGGGTTGGCTTGGGAGGTTTGCTCCTCTCCGATTTCAATGTCTCCTTGTTAGAGAAGCCAGTCCAGGGGAAATCATCCTGCCCTTGATCCTTGTTGTAATTTCACAAATAGTAGTGAAAACAAACCCTTTAAACTAGAAAATCTGTCACTGCCAACTGTGAACAACCTGTAGCAGTGCCTTCTTGGAGTCCCAAGCACCTTATCAGGTTTCTGAGTTCACAATTTTTTTTTTTTTTTTTGTGGTACTGGGGATTGAACCCAGGGCCTTGTGCATGGGAGGCAAGCACTCTACCAACTGAGCTGTATCCCCAGCCCCATTTCTCTTGGCATCCAGGATTGAACCCAGGGGTGCTTAACCACTGGACAACACCCCCAGCCCTATTTTGTATTTCATTTAGAGACAGGGTCTCCCTGAGTTGCTTAGCACCTTGCTTTTGCTGAGGCTGGCCTTGAACTTGTGATCCTACTTGTGATCCTCCTGCCTCAGCCTCCCGAGCCACTGGGATTACAGGCGTGCACCATGGCACCCGGCACAATTTTCTCTAAGACAATGCAGTCCTCCCTGCCTTACTAAAAGCCTGGAGCTGTTGGAGGACACTGTAGGGCTGGCAAAGGTCTTGGCCCTTGGGGTGGGGCGGGGCAAGAAGTGCGCTGTGCAGGAGGACCCTCAGTATAAGGATGTGAGTGAGTCCAGGCCCAGGAAGTTTCGATGCTGTGTGACAGGTAAGGGGAGCCAGATGGGAGCTCCTGGGTGCGGGCAGTCGACACAGGAGGCTGGAGTCACAGTCACAGAAAAACTCACTTCTGAGCTGGGGTCAGGGCAGTGGGGACACAGAGTGGGTCCCTCTGATGCCCACCTTCTCGCTGTCCCCACTGTAACACACACAACCTGCAGCAGTGGCTTCACTGAGTAGGCTTCCGGCTCCACTTTGAGCCATTCCCTGTAAAGAAGCAGGGGAAGGGGGCTCTCAGAATGTTGTCATGGTGACCATGTTCTTCTGGCCCAGACCCTTCCATGGCTTCCACTTTCTTCAGCATGAAGATCAAGTGTGGTTTTTTCCTGGCATTCAAGGCCAGTGAGCCCCCCTTCCAATCTGTGTAGCCACCTCTGCCTAAATCACTCAGCCCGACTAGGCCGTCCACAGCCTTGGTCACTCCCTGCTTAGGTCCCTGTCTCGCTTATGTCCACCACCCACACCTCCCCAGCCTTCCATCTGTAGGTCAGAGCCAAGTTCTTTTCTCAACCCATGTGCTTATGCCATTGCTCTTAGTGGCTCTTAGTTCCTTTTGACAGTTGCTGGGGACCTGCTTTGTGGCAGGTGCTGGGGATAATGAGATGTCCTATACTAGTGTCAACACCCAGGTGGAGGGCTGGTGGAGTCCCACAGACCTGAGCACTCCAGGCACTTCACCTGCTCCCTGCACCTCCTCCCCACTCCCCTCAGGCCTGTACCCAACTCACCTGCACATGTGCAAACCTGCGGCAAGCCAGGGGAGCGTTGGTCTAGGTGTGGCTATTGCCCTATAGTTCAGAGAGAGGCAGTTGCGGGGGGCAGGGGGGGGCAGAGGGCGGATACCTGCTCACTGAGTTCCCTTGACACAGCCTTTGGTGGGGCAAAAGGAAGGGATAAGAAGGAACAAGGAGGTGGGGCTGGGTGTGGTGGCACTTGCCGGTAATCCCAGAGGCTTGGAGGCTGAGGTAGGAGGATAGCGAGTTCAAAGCCAGCCTCAGCAACAGCCAGGCGCTAAGCAACCCAGTGAGACCCTGTCTCTAAACAAAATACAAAATAGGATTGGGAGTGTGGCTCAGTGGTCAAGTATCCCTGGGATCAATCCCTGGTGTCCCCCTCCCCCCCAAAAGGAGGAGGTGGGTCCCCAAGAAGTCATATTCAAAACAAATATTACTTGATCAAGATAGATAGGCTCCACACAGGGTGCTGGAGGCAAAGATGAATCTTCAAGGAAACACAGATTGGAAGAGAATCAGGCCATGAGGGCAACCATGTTTACAGTGGCTTCCTGGGCACAGGGCTCTGTGCCAGCAGCAATACCCATGTCATCACATTTCACCCTCAGGACCCCCCAGTGGCAGAGGCATTGCTAGTATCCCCCAGCGGCAGAAGAACAGAAGCTCAGGGAATAAGTGCCTTGCTCTGGTCACATAGCAGGGATCCTCTCCCTGACACCAACAGCTACTTGCCATTGGGTGTGAAAAGAGCTGAGAGGCAGGGACAACTATGACAGGAGAGAGTGTAGTCCCTGGGCCTGTGGAGTTGCTGATGGGGATGGCAAGGAAGAGCCCAGCACAAGGTCGAGGGCAGACTGACCCTCAGGGAGGTTGGATCCTGACAGGTTCTGGAACTCCCTAGGAGTGCCCAGAGAGCTGCAGCGGAACTCAAGGGCAGGAAGGGAGCCTCATAAAAAGCTGGTGGAGAGAGAGAGAGAGCGGGGGGGGGGGAGAGAAGGGGGAAAGACTGGTGCGCAGGGAAAGGCCTAAGTAACAGGTTACCCAATAGCAATCTGGCTAGTGAATGGAGGCAGCAGAGGCAGCAGGCCCAGCTCTGTCCACCAGAGGGCGCCCGGCACTTAGCAATGAAGCCAGCAAGGCATGGAGGGTGAGGACAGAGCTAATTCACCACCTTGTAAGACCAGCAGCAAGAAATAAGCCCAGAAGGCCAAGGGGAGTCGAGATCGCTGTGTTTGCTCATCCTGAGATGATTATCAACTATTTCCTTCAATACTGAGAAAACCAAGCCATGTGACTTCCTGTCTCCATCCCCTCCCAACTTCCCTTGCAAGTCTATTTTCCATCTCTCTGACTTGCTGTGACAAGGAGTCATATGGTAATGTGCCAGTAATCTCCAAATTCACCTAACTTGCTCTTTAATGATGCGCTATTTCAGTGTCTGTCATTTCCACTATCTATCTTCAGATCTGCCTGACCACCTGCCTCGGCTCTTATTTTTCACTCATTTTTTCCATCACCCCCTTTAGAAGTTTCCTATCACACTTTACAGCCTCCCTCTGCCAAGTCCAACAGCCCAAGTCCTGGCGTCCAAATCAATCACTTATTGTTCCTGCTGACACTTGATCATGGTGGCTCACTTCCTTAGATGAGTATTTAATTTGCTCAGTAATTTTTCCGGACAGCCTGCGACACCTTGACATGTACTATCTGGGACTCCTGAAGGAAGACCCTTTTCTCCCAAATATTTACATTTTCATGACAGACACCAGGAGATTCTAGCCTAGAATCATCTTAATTTCTCAGCCCTGGAGTTATTTGACCTCTGGAGTAAACCTGAACTAGGTGACAGCAGATCTAAGATTACAATCTCTGCTGAGGTTCTTTTACTTTCTCTCAAGAGGGGATGGAGATGTCTGAGGTCAGTTCCCATTGTAACCAGGCAGATTCTCCAAGGCTTTTTCACAGGGTCAAAGCCCCTGAGTGACCTGGCTTCCAGGAGTGGGATGAGTCCCAGGCAGCTCATCTCTCAAACTCTGAGTTCTTGGAATATTTTCCTCCTAACAGCACACGTTTCCCCTTTTGTATTGAATCACCGCTGGGATAAGCTCACTCTTAATTTTCTTCTGACCCTTGAGATTTCCTGTATAAAGGAAGTACCTTCATTAGTATTACTCTGCATTTAGGTGTTAGTTTTATTACTCTGCATTTAGGGTTCAACCCCCAGTACCAAAATAAAGAAGTTACTAGGAAAGAAAAATGTCTCTAGTACTTTACCTTATTTTTCAAATTTCCTGTGGCTGAATTTCCCTTACCAAAAGATCATATAATGGTGAAGAGAAGCAAGAACAAGGACCTGGGAGTGTGTTGTGTGTGCACAACTGCAGGCAATGGCTGCAGGCCTCTGGGTGGGCATGTGCAACCAGCCTGCTCCCCTGGGCCAGACAAGGTGACCGAACTAGCTTCCCACAGGGCCCAGCTGCAGGCCCTGCAGGGCTCCAGTGCTGGAACTATCTCTGTAGCAGCTCAGCCTCAGCAACTGGGCAGGAGCACCTCTCCCTCAGCCCTCCAATTTGGGAACTAGGGGGAGGGGACACAGAGCCCCCGTCAGGCCACTCACAGTGTACACCTTCCCTCCCAGGCCCAGTTCAGTTTGAGTCAGAAAAGGAATATAGCCTTTTTATTGACTACTTTAAGTAGAACAAACTAAATACATATTTAACAGTTTTGGTTCATTTATACAGTACATTAAATAAGTTATGCACAGAGTTAAGTAACAAAAGTTCCTATCAGAGTAAAATGACAAAGCACAGAAAAATCAGACTAACGCATTCTGCGGGTGGTTTCACATTCATGTCCCCCTTTGAAAATTGCGCTCTGCGGCTTAGTTTTCTACTTATTTACATTATCAGCTTTCTTTTATGGACGGAGCCTTTGTAGCCTTATCAGGAACTTGGAAAGCCATGTCAGTGGGCTGAAGGCCTCTTAGCCAAACAGCCCTTTCAACCATTCACCGAATGCTTATTGCTGCTTCTCTCTGCTGACTCCAAGACAGGGACGGGGCTGTCCCTGACAGACACCAGCCACACATGCCCTATTTGGTTTAAGCATCAATGAGAGTATACACTGGCAGCTGGAGGCCTGACCAGATGGGGGGTGCGTGGGAAGCGCCATTTTCTGTGGCTTGGAGGGGGCCTGCCCTCAGGCTTCCCAACCTTCTGGCTCATGATGGGAAAGGTCACCTGCTCCATCATCTTTGGAAATGAGCATGTCAATGCACCGGAGCAAAGAGGCCGGTAGTCAGCATTTTGGTTTCACAAGAACATCCTCAAGTGGGAAGGGGCCTGCCGAACAGCCGGCCCTGTTGCCCAGTTGGGTCCAGGCAGGGCTCTTCTCTGACAGCTGGCCATTTGGCCTGTGCTGGGACAGTCCTTCTGGCTTTTCTCACATTTGGTTCAAACATGCCGCCACCCAAGTAAAAACCATCCAAAAAACTGGCTTGGAATCCACAGCCTTTGAACCTTGGTTCTAGTTCAGTTATGAAGAAAGCCCCCAAGATGTATCGTACTGGTAATGCTTTATTCCATCCGTGGCCCTCTACAGTTTCCAGAACAAATGGCCATCTGGTGGTCCTTTATGCTCTCTCTGGACAACTCACTACCATACATTCCAATTATACTGTTGAATCTTCAAACACAATTGCTGAGATATCTTCCAGAATGACCCGAACCGATGTCTACAGCCTTGTGAGCAGTGACAGTTGGGGATCACTTCAACTTTGGGACAGGTTGTACAAAGAAAGCAACATGTAGATGTTTCTGTCTGGATGCTAAAGATGCACAGGTTGACACCAAGAAATGATGAATTCTAGGGGAACTGATGGGCAGATAGCAAAGGGTCCACACTGCAGAGGGGAGCAGTCAGTGCCAAGGGTAGACCTGAGGTTCCCAGATGTAGATATCCTGGCAGACACGACTCAGGGGTGCCCTAAGAATGATCCATCCACCCAATCTGAGCAGATGTGCTGAAATTTCAGCCCTGGAGCTGAAATTTGATCAGTACCAGCTCTAGAGGGTGGTTCACAGGGTGGACTGCCTATTCCTGGGCTTGAGTCATCTTCACGGTTGCATGGAGTCAGGACAGTGCAGGTGAAAGGGGACACAGAAAACAACTGAAGATAGAAACCCTGCCCTCAACTATCCCTTGGGACACTTAAGTCGGTTCCAAGCCAGGTATGGTGATGCACATCTATAATCCCAGTGACATGGGAGACTGAAGCAAGTTCAAGGCCAGACTTAGCAACTTGGTGAGGCCCTAAGCAAGTTAGGGAGACCCTATCTCAAAGTAAAAAATAAAAAGGGTTGGGGATGCGGTCAGTGATAAAGCATCCCTGGGTTCAATCTCAAGATACCCCCGCTCAAAAAAAAAAAAGTCGGCTCCTACTTTGGCCACATTTGGTGTTCTCTGGTTCCTGCAATCATTCTTTTGGCAAAGAACTCATCAGTGTCCCTCAGCAAGCGATGTTGAGCACTGGCCTTATGCTCTTTGCTTCTGGTTTCCATGATAAAATCAAAGAGCCTCTGACTGCCTTGCCCTGCCCACTTTTGTACCATCATCCCAGCCTCTTAGCCTGAGTAGAGGCCAGACCTCTGAGCAACCTCATTATACGGATACTACTTCTTTTAAATCCTAGTGGAAATGAGAAAGGTGGTGGTGGTGGGGGGCGCTTTATGCTCAACTCTAACCTGGGACCTGGACTCACATCTGTCCCCCCAGCCACCTACCTCATCCTAGGTTCTGCTCTTCCCCTCAATTAGGAAGTTGGATTAGAGAAAGGAAGTTCCCAGAGAAAGGGATTCCTTAAGTTTGAATAGTCCTGTACTGATGCCCTAGTGACTTGTGTGTGACACTGACCAGAATGAACATAGGGAATGGTCTGAGAACTGTGGTGCACAATTTTGCTCAGGTCTGCAGACAGGCTTCCACTATCACATGAGCAAAGCAGTCTAGAACAGCATTACAAAGACTTGGAAACAGGAACTGTCATTGAAACCAGAGCCCACAGAAGTAGGTCAGGCCCTACACCCCAAATCGACCTCAAGCCCTGATAAGTATTATATTTGTTTTGGCTCTTTATTCCAGCCAGTAAAAAACCTGAGCTACCCTGGCTAGTCTTGTTGCCAGTGAAGATTTTAAAAAGCTGTTTAGGTGTTCATCTAACTTATTTAAGGAAAATAACCTGAGGGCAGATCCAGTATATAATGTGAGATGCCCTCCTTCTACAACTGAGTTAGAGGCTCAAAGGTCTTTTCAGAAGATACCCCCTTTCTTATGGAAATGTGGGTGCACAATTTGAGGATTGACTCCATGCCTAGTAAAGCCAGGCTGCCCTGGCTGCTAGGGCTCCAGGAGGTAGAGGAGGTGGGGACACAGCCATACAGGCTGACAGAAAACAGGGGGTCTTATGTGGTCAAGGAGCGTGATTCTCTGTTCTTCTTTTTCTGAGTCTACCTTGCTTTATAGGATGGAAATCTAGGGATTTTAAAGGTGTCTTGTATTGAGTGTCTAAGACTGGTTAAGATGAATCAGGTGGGTTCTAAAGGAAGATGCCCCTCTATGCAAGAACACCACTGTGTCCATCCCTCTTCCTGCACTCTGTCTGTGTGAAGGTGGTGATCTAACCCTGGCTCTCAAGCCAGCAGGAGCAGGGCTAACCACGTCACTCCAACTGATTCCACGGGACAGGACACTAGAGGCTCAAAGGTGCCAAGCAGGAGGGGCAGGCAAGGTCCTTGGGCTCCCGACAAAACCCAAATGGCAGAAGAGAACCTGTGAGGCAGTGGCCACCACTGTGAAAGGGATACAGGTAATGTCAATTTGGAGTGCCAGGAAGCAGGAAAACTCCTGGAGAAAGGAGGAAGAACGGGTCAGGCTTGCTTTCCTAGATGAGTCCCACACTCCACGAACCAGAGGGAAGGTACTGAACAGCTAAGGGAAGGTAAACTGAGACTGTGCCTGCTAATGACTCCATGGAGCAGGTCTGAAGGATTCCTTCAGGTCCAGGAGGGCTGCTCAGAGAAGACCAGGCCTTGGTGGGTGGGGCAAGTCCTACAAACACACCACAGCACATCCAGGGGGACAACTGTGGCCTAAAGGTGCCAAACAGAGCCCGTGGGCAGAAGATGCCCACAGCAGTCTGGACGTGTGTGGTCTGAGAGAGAAAAGGACATAGAACGAGACAACTGTGCAAACAGCCAGGCGAGGGCAGAAGGCTCTGCATTTCCAAGGGATGATCCACTCAGTGATTTGATGACAGGAGGTGGTCAACATGCTCAGAGAGAAAAGACTAACATGATGGAGTCTCATTCTCTCTTGGACAAATCCATGCGCTGGAAAATATTTTCTGCACAAGCAAAATCAAGAAAGAGGGAGAAAAATGGGTTCCAAAGTAAAGTAGCCAGCCAGGTTGGAAAATCTTGTCCAAAATGATCTGTGTTGCTTAGGGAAGATTTATTTATTTATTTTTATTATCATGGGTGCTCATATTAAAGTGGTGACTTCTTTCCTGTCATTTCTGAGCATCTTAAGTCTGAAAGCAGGGTTGAGAAGGGAGTCTCAAGTGATGCTTTTGGTATACCCAAGTGCCCATGAAGCCAATCAGTGTCGCCTTCTGAGGATGGAAAAGGGCTCAAAGAGCTACTCAGTGGGAGGGGGGAATCCTTCTCCTCCTCAGTCTGCTGCCAGGCTCGAGGTCTCTGCCATCTGAGGACCATGGACAGAGTGGGAGATAGTACATGGCAAGCTGCTGCCAGCCTGGCTGTCACATTCATCAGTCTGCTGACTCAAGGAGCTGGGGAAGTTGTGGCCTCCAAGGAGCCAAGCCAGCTTCAGCTGGGAAGGAACACACCATGAAAGCCCCCAGAAGAGGCAGCTCAGATGGGCTGCTTGTGTGCAGAGAATGGCACTCATTCTACCAGGACACAGATGCAAGTCCAAGACAGACCACGGAGTGCTGCTTGGATGTTTCCTGCTGCACTTCATTTCTTGCTGATGACCCAAGCTACTTATTCCAACAGCCAGGCCCTTTGGTGCAAGGGTTCTGTCATTCAGAGTGGTCATCAGAGAAGTGGAACTTGGGGTTTAGAGTCCATTGGTATCAATGGCTGTCACAGAGGCAGGAGTTGAGGAACGTGAGGTGGCTGCTGAGGTCTTGTCCAGGGCTGGGCTGGGCACACTGCAGTCAGCAGACCTGACCGAGGAGCCCCTCCCTCCAGGAAGCAGCGGCCGGCCCTGGCTGTGGGGACTCTGGCCATGCAGGCTCTGGCCACAGAGGCGGTGGTGCCGCTCCCAGTCCTTGTGCTGGCAGAAAGAGCCGCAGTACCGTGCGATATTGCAGCCACTGCATGTCTCACTGGCTTTGCGGCCACAGTTCCAGCAGTTCTGCAAGACACAGGTATCATCAGTTAGTGGTTGATGGGATCTTGGGGGATGGACTTGTCATGTCACTTTCTCCTGCATGACAGAGCAAGGGCTGTGGAGCCACACACTGTGGTTGAGTCCTGCCTCTGCTATCTGCATAACCATGGGACATATGCACCCCCTTTCCGAGCATCCTTCATCTGTAGAGCAAACAAACTTCCTTCTCATGGGGCCATGGGCAAAGTGAGGGCCTATGTGAAGACACTTTGATCAGTACCAGCTCTAGAGGGTGGTTCCCATCTTCTGCTTAAGGCACAGATTCTCTCTCTCGTTTCTCCCCTTCTTCTTTTTGGTGGTACAGGAGATTTAACCTGGAAGGTTTTTTTATTTGTTTATTTTTTGTGCTGCTGGGGATCGAACCCAGGGCCTGTGCATGTGAGGCAAGCACTCTACCAACTGAGCTATATCCCTATATCCCCAGCCTGGAAGTTGTTTTTAACTACTAAGCTACATCCCCAGCCTTTTTTATTTTGTGACAGGCTCTTGCTAAGTTGCTGAGGCTAGACCTGAACCTGCAATCCTGCCTCAGCCTCCCAAGCCACCGAGATTACATGCATGCACCATCATGCCCAGCAATACTGTTTTTTTTTTTTTTTTTTTAAAAACCAAAGACTAGTGTATAAGCCAAACTGATCTTAAAAAGTCACCTGGGAGGTGGCTGTGCTACTTCCAATTTTGTTCTCTGCCTTGCCTGTCTTCCCTTCACTGCTGTGTCTCTTTACAGACTGGGCTAGGATCATGGGAAAGTTAAAAGCCCAGTCTTGGGGCCACTCAGCACTCAGGGCTCTGTAAGTCTAACTTACAGCATCTTCTTATTACTTCCTGTACTTTCTCAGAGTGGGCAGGTGTGACCAGGATTCAGTAGAACCCCTGGGGAGACTGTACCAGTATTAATTTTATTACTGAGGATATGAGCCAAGTGAGGCTTGGGGAGGGCTGAAGCAGTGCCAAGAAGCAGGAATAGAATCAGTCCCTACACAGACAACCTAACGTCTCCCCACTCAGCTCAGAGGGAGGAATGCATGGGAATAAACCTGGCCACAATGCAGGCCCCAGTGCTGCGGCCTTTCTTTCCTGTAGGCTCCCTAAGATTCACCAGTGACACGTCAATGTTCTGCAGGACCTACTGCTAAGAGAAAAGCTTTACGGCAATGACCAGGTGAAGCTATCAGCCAGCGTTCCTGCCCACGAAACCAAGACTGGGAGAAGCCAATCTCCAGGCTGGCTGTGAAACTACTTACGCAATAATCATCCCTACCTCCAAATGAAATCAGGATGTCTGACCTGAGTACAAAACAGGCAACAGGGCAAAAATGGATGCTGGGGTCTCCTTGACCACCTTGTATGTTGTACAAATGAGAAAAACGAGGGCCAGACTTTCTAAGGTTACAAATGATCAAGGGGCTATGCAAAGTCTGGAACCTGGACCTCCTGATACTCCATGTATGAATCTGGTTTCAAAGCACATTAGAAAAGACTGTCGATGCCCTGCTAACACAGGCTTCCCAGGAAACACACTGTAGGGAATGTCAAAACTTGCCAACACCAACACCAGAGGACCAAAATAGGGAACAGATGTAATTCTTAGGTTACATTTACAGACCCTCAAGCAAACTGTGTTCCAGACAATTTCCTACTATGGAGTCCAACAGGCTGACTCCCAAAAATCCTTTGGCTGAATGTTGTCACTTGTGGGGAAGAACCCAGCTGCTGCCTCATAAGCTGCCACCAGCAGGATGGGCAAGCCTCTTCTTCCTCGGTCCACAAGGACATCTCAGAACTGGATCAGAGTATTAAACCTCTGGTACTTTCATCTTGGCTGCCATTATTTTTGAAAAAGCTTTTGAAATACAGAAGGTTTATGAAAGACAGAAAAACGAAGAACACAGCCTCCCCCAGAGGCATGCTCACAGACGTGCAGAACAACAGAGTGTCAGAGCAGCCAGGGGTGACAAGGACAGTTTCCCGTTTTCTTTCCCTTGTTGGGCTTGTCCCTGAATTGACTAAGAGGGGTTTATTTTTTTTAAGATATGAGACAAACTCAGGTGTGGTGCTGCGTGACGACTCAGCAGACTGAGGCAGGAGGACAGCTTGAGCCCAGGAGTTTGAGCCAGGCTGGGCTCAAGACCATAATGAAACAACAACAAAAAGAGCCAGGCGAGGTAGACATAAGGCAGTGATCCCAACAACCTGGGAGGCTGAGGCAGCAGGATAGAAAGTTTGAAGCCAGCCTCACAACTTAGTGAGACCTTGTCTCAAAATAAAAAACATAAAGGGTTGGGGATATAGTTCAGTGGTAAAACACCTTGGGTTCAACCTCCAGTGTAAAAACAAAAAACAAACAAACAACACACATACACACATACAAAACCCCAAAACAAAAAAAACCCCAAATCTTATTGTAGTCACCCTTCAAATCAGCTTCAGCTATAGCTTTGAGGCAAGAAGCTGATTCTTAAGGATACACTGCAAGTGTGAAGAAAGCTGGGACTGGAGCTCAGGGCTCCTAACCTCTAGGACTTAGCCAAATTATGCTCTGTGGTTAATGGGGCAAGGTTATAAACCTTCCAAGTTACTGGTCATGGAAATCATAAATATGATTCCAGAATTTCCACTGTCAAATGGGGGCTATCACTTATGTCAGCATTACTCCAAGTGAGGGCCAGAGTCCACAAAAACCACCTGGTGCTTTCCAGAAGCCGTGGAACCTCCCTGACCTTACTGCGATCCTCACAGGGGAAAGAATTCCCCATTTTACTGTTGCCTGCTAGCCCATTATGTTTTCCAGGAGACCCAGGCTGGGAATAGAACATGTCCTATGGTACAGACAAGGGGACCTCTCATTTGTCCCTTCAACCTAAGGCACTATAGGGAAGCTGTGCTGTGTGAGCCGTCAAAGCTTACATACTAATGACACAACAAAGTCCTTTCTACCTGCACAGTGCTACCAGGCCAACAGGAAGGCGCTACTATATCCACTGTACACAGAAGGAAGCTCACTCTTAAGGGTACACTGCTAGTGTGAAGGAAGCTGGGACTGGAGCTCAGGGCTCCTAACCTCTAGTCTGCTTCCTCATACCAACCAGTTTCTCACAAGGTAAAAGAGAAGGTACAGATACTTGATAAACTTTAAGGAGAATTTTCTGGGATGAAGTCCCAAGAGAATTGGCCTTTCTGGTCAGTGAAAACTCACCCAAAGCTTAGGCCCTCTATTCCCCTCCTATTTTGGAAAGCAAGTTTGCTGGGACAGAAGCTGCTCTACCCCTCACCTACAGGGCACTCTGTGAGTTGTTTAAGAGTATAGCTTCTTAAAAGCACAACCCTCTAAATGGACAGCTGGGATTATAGCTAGGCCGTCCAGACTCAGAATCCATGTTCTTAGCCAAAAGCCACATTCCGTCTTTGGAGACAGACACAGTTAAGGATAAACACAGATATAAAAGTAGATAAATACGGGCAGATGTATATATTGATATAAATAGTTAAGGATACAGAATTAAACACAGGGAACAGAAATAAATATTATCGCTCAAGAATCATTCTATAGAAAAAGTAGGAGTGGGGAAAGAAAAGAGAGAGGTTTACAGGAACTATATTCTCATACTTGGTATCTTCACTATAAGAGAACCAGAAGGCTTTTTACTCCTTTTGCCGCAGTGACAAGACAGTTAGGCATTTTCATTCCCACAGTGCAATGCTGGGCCTTGCTACACTGAATTGGAACATTTAAATAAACAAAAAAGTACTTTAATTTAAAACCACTTTTGGGACTGTTAAGTTTCTGCCATACCACCCCTCCCTTTTTTTCATGTTTGTCCTTGTTACACAGAAGCATCACCAAGTTGTAGGCTGTAAGTCCTGGGCACTGGGCAAGTCTGCCCAATCTGTCACTTCCATCCATAATAAGTTTTATTTATAAAAAACTAGATTCAAGTAGAACCTGCCCTTTCTTACCCCTGTACTTATCCTCAGCACTGTGGGTGTCAGTTATATTCCCTGAGCCACTGCTGCATCTACAGATTATGGGATTCAATAATACCTACCTTCCATGCTCACAGTGAGGACCAAAAAGAAAACACACTTACATGGCTGGGTTTCTGACACCCAGTCAGTCCACTCAAGTCAGTTATCATTATCAAGCAATGACACAAACTCTACCCTTAGGATAAGTTTTCAAAACTTAAAGTAACTATAATGAGGTTTTGTGTGTGTGTGTGTGTGTGTGTGTGTAAATACAATACAATAATTTAAAGTGAATAAATAAACAGAAATAAAACTGTTCTGGTATTGCCTAAAAATTCTAGTCTTGTCCACAAGTGAACTCTGTCTTCCTGCCCAGCAATTGAGGCAGGCAGAGCTGCTCCCCGAAATGCCCAGCCCCAGGCCCTAACAGAGCGCTGACCTCGGTCGACTCTTCCTGCTCGTTGATGACGAGGAAGGCGTCCTCCGCAGCCTGTCGTTTGACGTCCGCTATGGTCTGCTCCATTCGCGCTCTCTCTGTTGCAATCACTTCAAAGGCTTTTTGCTCAGCCTCAGCCACGGCCTTCTGTACTTCTGACATGGCCTGAATTTTCACCTTATTCACAGCTTCTTCTAGAAGAAAGTCACAGTAAAATCAACTGGTCAAGAAATCTTTCCCCCCACCCCACAGCATTTCCAAAGATGAAGCAGAGACAAGATGCACAGGGGTAAACACATGGCATATGTAGGTATATTCATTCTTACAATCACTTGTCCATTCATGCAATAATTTTTTGGGTGTGCATATGGAGGTACCTACTGTGGCGGGTTTGGGGATACAAAGGAGACAGAACATTGTCCACACCTCAGAACTGTTTTTCTTATCAAGTATAATGGTGGCTAAGGTGCCATCATGTATGTCAGTATGAAAGGCTAGAAGGAGAAAAGTGGGAGGGAAGGATCAAAAAAACACGCTCTGCCCAGGACAGTGGCACACGCCTGAAATACTAGCAACTTGGAAGGCTGAGGCAGGAAGATCACAAGTTTCAAGGCCACCTTCAGCAACTTAGCAAGACCCTGTCTCAAAAAATAAAAAGGGGCTGGAGATGTACTTCAGTGGTATATTGAACCCTGGGGGTTCAATCCCCAGTATCAACGCCCCACTCTCAAAGTGCTCTGGTTGAGATGGCAGGTGGAAATGAGATTTTGGAAAGTTTTGCATGCCTTACTTGGCCTTATTTTCTAAAGGAAATGTGAACCCCTTAAAGGATTCTCTGCAACTGGCAGGTTGTGGCAGTCATCCAGTTGATAGAGCAAGTGGCACCCAGGAAGGGAAGAGCCAAAGGTTGGTAGCACTAAAGGGTCTAGAAGTGGAGGTAAAAGAGATGGGAGTGTTATACAATGAAATGGGTGATATGTAAGAAGCTGGTGTGGAGGCAAATGAGATGGTTTGATGTGTCTCTGGAGAGCCAGGTATAAATGACCAGGAGGCAGAGTTGTTGACATGATATTGAGCACCACAGAGAAACAAGCTGAAGATACAGATCTAAGTAGACTGCCCTAGGCTTCTAAACCCTGTCCAGTCACCATCAGGCCACCTGGTGACTTCCTCCCATCTCCACTACCCTGGCTTGGTTTCCATAAGTGGACACTCCAAATGACATATGTTCTATGCATCTGAGCCTCAATCTCCAATGTGAATGTGAATGACCTTCCACACGCATGAGTCCACAGACTACACAACTGCTTTCTGAGTGGTACAGGTTGTTCCATCATGGTCCACTTTGAGAAAAAGGAAATTGAACTCCGTAAAGTCGCAAAACCCTTGGCTATCTGCACAACTCCTGCACTATGTATACCTTGTAGTCACCTGCCATTGCCACCGTGAACCTCTGGACTGCTCTGATGCCAAATGCCCTTAACTGTCCACACCCCACTTCACAGAGAACAAGAACTTTGGCCAGGTGCAGGCCTGTAGTCCCAGCAGCTCCGGAAGCTGAGGCAGAAGGATCGTGAGTTCAAAGCCAGCCTCAGCAACAGCGAGGCACTAAGTAATCAGTGAGACCCTGTCTCTAAATAAAATACTAAAGAGGGCTGGGGATGTGGCTCAGTGGTTGAGTGTCCCTGAGTTCAATCCCCAGTAACCCTCCCCAACCAAAAAGGGAACAAGAACTTTGGGTTACTTCCCCCAACTTAGCCCTCTTTCAGCAGGAAGCAGCTTGGAGATGTTGGCATCTATTTTTCCATAGAAATGGAATGTAGAAATTGACAGGAAATATAATAGTGATTCACTTTATGCTCTGAATATAGCCCTTATGGCTCTGCCACTGTGACTTATTTTTAAAATGGACCTGTTCTTTCTTTTCTTCTCTCCCTGCTCCTCTCTAATCTTTCCCCATCCCTAATCTCAAGGGAAATAGGATTACTGTTCTTCCCCTCCTAGACAGATTTATCTGTCCTTGAGTACACACCCACCATAGGAATGAAGTAATCCAGACTTTGGGGATGGCACCAGAAGATCTCAGAAACTGGTAATTTTCCAAATTAACCAGTGAATTATAAGTCCAACAGAGAACACATTCGTCACCGATCAACAGCGGTAACATCCCTACTGGCTTTTTCCCATAGGGACTTTAGGTGCTTTGGAGAGGTTCTCTCTCTCTCTCTTTTTTTTTTTTTTTGTACTTGTCTATGGACAGAATGCTTTATTTAATTTTCTTTATTTTTATGTGGTGCTAAGGATTGAACCCAGTGCCTCACACATGCCAGGAAAGTGCTCTGCCATGGAGCTATATCCCCATCCCAGGTTGTCCTCTGAATGCAGCCTTAACACGCAGCTCCAGCTCCTGTAATGGCTGCTCTCCAAAGTATAGCTTCTTTTTAAAAAATATGGGGAAGTGCTAGAGTAATCGAGAACACATGGAATGCAGCCTTTGAGTAACCTCTTTAGTTCTTTGGATGAGCAGAATCACAACATCTGGGACAGGAGTCCCTGTTTCTCCTTTGCTAGCAAAGCAATAAACCTCTTTCCTTAACAAACAAACAAAAAGACTACATAACTTAGATGCCTAAGGAAATCCTTCCATGGTCATCTTTCTCTTATGATTATCTTCATTTCCCACAACTATATCCCACTTATTATGACGGTGATATACATTTTCCCATTTCCAATTGCATGAAATTTTCTAAATCATTTTAAATTTTTATTTTGTTGTGGTATCAAACTATAAGTTAACTATAAGTGAATAGATATTTTGGCATTTTCCATATTCAGGTTGCCTCAAGAATCTACAAAAAACACTCTTTTTGGTAGGGGATGGAGGGTGTATCACTGAACAACACCCCATAAAAACAGTTTCTTTATCACTTACAATTTGTGTTTAGTCTGGATAATTTGCTTTTGGAAGGAAACATTCAAAAGCATGGGAGTGAAGAATCAGCATGTAATAACTGTTGGTAACATTTGACCATTTGACTTTTTATATAAAAACTGAGGAATTATCTTGAAAATTTTGTCTATAACTGGGCGTTAAGGATTTTGGGTGCTAATTTATTGGGATTCATTTATCATGCACATTCTTGCTTACTGAGGAAAAAATTTTACAGTAAGTTGATCTGTATTTGCCATAGCATAATCTGTCTGTCTACTCATATCTTTTGTCCATTTGGTTTTTTTTGGTACCAGGGATTGAACCCAAGGTCACTTAACAGCTAAGCCCCATCCCAGGCCCTTTTTTTTTGTATTTTTTATTTAGAGATAGGGTCTTACTGAGTTCCTAAGGGCCTAAATTGCTGCAGCTGGCTTTGAACTCAAGATCCTCCTGCCTCAGCCTCCCAAGCTGCTGGGATTACAGGCAAGTGCCACCACCCCTGGCCTTTGTCCATTTTTTTATTATCTGAAGAACAGAGAGATTAAAGGGCTGCTCCAAGAGCAACATTGAGTGAATGTGGCAGCAGTGTGAACACACTGTGTGATGCTAGCAAGGAGATCAGGCAGAAATGAATTCAATTTATATCAAAAGGGTGGGAAGAGCTCATTATTTCATGCCTCAGAGTAATCCAACAGAAAGGTGAGAAAGAACCTGGAGGGAGCTATCCCAAACCCCTGACCTGCAAAGAAACATGACAGGCAGCCCAGGACAAAGTGGAGGGGGGAAGAAGCAAGAGCCATGAGCTCCACCAGGGGAAGTTTCTAGACAACCAGACAGCCAGTCACCAACCTTTCCCCCAGTGTGTGTTCCCTGCTTATACAAACTAGTGAGTTCATGCAGGCTCTAAGCAGATAGACACATACCTGTTTTCTTCCAAAACTCCACAGGTACGTATCCTGTTCCTGGTCTACTACTGAATTCCCGCTGAGAATCTACAAAAGAAAGATAAAGAATATAGGGTCAGAAGCTCTTTTAATCAGCAGTTTCATTTTATGAAACATACACAATTTTTTTTTTTTTGGTGGTGATGGGGATCAAACTCAGGGCATCATGTGAGCTATCACTACCTCTAAGCTATCACTCGGAGCCCTGAAACAGATTTTTATTAGACTTTTCATTCATTAGACTCAAAATGTATTGCCTTAGTCCAAAAAAATTTCTGATAAAGGAAAATCAGATTATGAAATAATATCAAATATTAATAGTATTTAATAAACAGTGAGATGATAAGCCCACAGATATATGTACTTTTGTCTCTGTGTCTCCATTTTCTATTTAACTCTCTCCCCTTGTGCACACACAGGTCTCTAGCTCTGATTTGTAGATGTCAGGAAGGATAGCTTCAGTTTCTTGGCAACTCAGAAGGTGGTTTCCTTTTAAAGTTTCTTAAAATGCTTGTGAACTAAACTAAGGGAAGGAAAAAATAAACAAGTAGTAAAGAAAATACACAGAGGGGGCTGGGCTGGGGTTCAGTGGCAGGGCGCTTGCCTAGCATGTTGTGAGGCACTGGGTTCCATCCTTAGCATCACATAAAAATAAACAAATAAAGGCATTCTATCCATTTATGGCTACAAAAAAATTTTTTTCAAAAGAAAATATAGAGAGCTGGGGATGAAGGCACACACCCGTGATCCTAGCTACTCAGTTTGCTGAGGCAGGAGGATCAAGCTTGAGGACAGCCCTCGCAACTTAGTGAGACCCTGTCTCAAAATTTAAAATAAAGAGAAGAAAGAAAAGGTGCAGGTCTAAAATAGTGCTAAGCCCAAAAGACACCCCTGTGATTCATTAGGAAGGACATGGGTAGAGGGTGACTCATCACAGAGTGTTTGCCTAGCACATGTGAGGCACTAGGTTAAATTCTTAACACTGCATAAAAATAAGTAAAAGCATTCTGTCTACATATATTTTTGGTGGTATGGGTGATTGAAACTGGAGGATTGGGGGGGGGGGCGCGATTACTACTGAGCTATATCCTTACTTCCCAGTCCAGGTACTTCACCACTGAGCCACATCCCCAGCCCTTTTTATTTTGAGACAGGGTCTCACCAAATTGCTTAGGACCTCACTTAAAAAAAAGTGTTCTAATTAATTTAATGCTGTCAACAAGCGACCATTATTATTTTCTTTGAGCTTTAAAAAATGTATAGTGTGGTAGCAAACACCTGTTATCTGAGCTACGCAGGAGGCTGAGGCAGGAGGACTCCAAGTTCAAGGCCAGCCTGGACCCAGTCTCAATATAAAAAATAGAGCCGGAGATGGTGGCACATACCTGTAATCCCAGTGGCTCAGGACACTGAGGCAGGATGATCCCAAATTCAAAATCAGCCTCAGCAATTTAGTGAGGTCCTAAGCAACTCAGACCCCGTTTCAAAATAAAAATATAAAAAGGGCTAGGGATGTGGCTCAGTGGTTAAGTGCCCTTGGGTTCAATCCCTGGTACCAAAATAAATGAATGAATGAATAAATAAAATAAAGACTGAGGATATAGTAGCTCAGCAGCAGGGCACCCCTGGCTAACCCCCTAGATGTATAGGACAGAGGATCTCTAGATCAGTGATAAGAGAACTTATCGGAGCCCTAGGTTTAGTGTCCTGTGCAAAGGGGATGGGATAAAATAAATCTAAAATTTGCCATTTTTAAAACTGAGGTGAGTTGGGTGTGGTGACACACACCTGTAATCCCAGCAGCCGGGGAGGCTGAGGCAGGAGGATCAAAACTAGTCTCAGTAACTTAGCAAGACCCTGTCTTTAAATAAAAAATAAAAAGGGTTTGGAATGTGGATCAGTGGTTAAGCGCCCCTGGATTCAATCCCTGGTTCTAAAAACTACCACCAACAAAAAAAACATAGTTGATTGGTTACTGGGGATTGAGTCCAGGGCACTCTACTACTGAGCTTCATCCCCAGTTCTTTTATTTTACTTTGAGACAGACTTGCCAAGTGGCCAAGACTGGCCTGAAACTTGCAATCCTCTTGCTTTTCGTCTCCTGAGTAGCTGGAATTACAGGTGTGTACCACAATACCAGGATAAGTATAGAACTATGTTAAAATGACTTTCTTCAGAAGTGATTACAAATGAATAGTCTGTGCCCCTACCCCAATACTGGTTCAACCTAGATCTCTCAGATCTTGGCTAATTTTTGGAATTACTTCAATTAGTACTCTATCTTCTTGGCCTTTTTTTTTTTTTTTTAAAGATTTATTTATTTTTATGTGGTGCAGAGAATTGAACCAGTGCCTCAACATCTTAGCAAGCGCTCTACCACTGAGCCACAACACCAGCCCTCTGCCTCTTTTGTACACTCATTCTGGAACTTGTGACTTGGAGTATGAGTTGAGTAGTTCTTCTAACATTCTTTTTTTCCTCGATGAATGATAATAATAATTTCTTTAAGTTTTCTTTTCTCTGAAGAACTGCTATCAACTGCCACTTTTGTCTTATTACTTCGTTTCTATCTTTCATATTAGAGGCTCACTTCTGGAGCCTGCTCACCCTTAACTCCTCATGCATGCCACTAAAAAGTTACATGGGTCAAGCATGGTGGTGAACGCCTAGAATCCCAGGGACTCTGAAGGCTGAGGTAGGAGGATAGCAAGTTTGAGGTCAGCCTCAGAAACTTGGTGAGATCCTGTCTCAAAATAGAAAAATAATAAAGCCTGGGAATTTGGCTCATTGGCTCCCCTGAGTTTAATCCCCAGTACCAAAAAAGTTACAAAAAGTGGCTGAGACTATCTACTATGGTCTTAACTATAGGCAATTATCCAATCTTGCCTGATTACTGGTCTCATTGAACAGAGATATATTCAGATTCTTGGGTCCCTGAACCCTTTAAGGAAGGACCTGTAGAAAATACACAGGCTGACACTCATTTTGAGGAAAAACTGATAGCAAGACTCATTTCTGTCCTTCAACCCTGCCCCCCCCCCCCCCAGTCAAGGGAGAATGTGAGCTATCTCAAGAGTGAGCTTTGGGGGTAAAGCAAGGAATACATATACACATTGAAGGGAGACCATGAGTCGCCTCCAGAGGGAGAAAGAGCCTAAAATTTTTTAAAATTGAAAATTATTAGATGGTTCACAAGTTCATAAAAACATTAGTGTGAAATTTAATGAAAAATCGGCAGGTAAACCAAAGCAATGTGTAAAAATGATGCCAGATAGACTGGCAACCCTGTCCTTACAACTGCTGACAAGACACATTAAGAGCGCACTAGCTATGTCTTCTCCATTAATGTCAGAGGAAACCACTCATCTTACTTTTGTAAGAATTTTCTTCTTCATGATTTTTGCACTTATTTATGTATCCTTAGGTAAATTATCAAAATAAATCACTTGTTAGAACAAAATTGTTCCTGAAAATACTGTGAATCTCAAAGTTTTCAGATGAGAGATATGTGTTTTATTTCATTTATTTATTTTTGGAGTGCTCTATCACTAAAAATATTCCCAGCCCTTTTTATGTTTTTCATCTTGAGACAGGACCTCTCATGAGTTGCCAAGGATGGACTTGAACTTGTGATCCTCCAGTCTCAGTCTCCCAACTTTCTGGGATTACACTTGGTTAAATTGGTTCCAATTCTTATTTTTTGAGAGGAAAATATTAGTAATAATGATGACAGGATACAGATTTAAATTAGGACCACCCCAGGTAAAACTGAAAATATAGTCAATCTAGCTAGAAGGAGGAGTATTGGTAATGCACAGCAAGCAATGTTTAGACACCACCAAGACGTGAAATTCTGGCTTGAGAACACCACCTCTCAGGACTGTGGCCACTCTGCTCTCTACATCAGCTCATGTGCACACACACACACTCACTTACTGATAGAAGGCATGTGGTTTGGAAGGTGAATTTCAGCAGTTTCTGCAAGTTGTTATCATGAATATTTTTAAGGGTGTAGATGGTGAGGGAGACCCAAGGGTTAGATTTGTCTGTTTTTGATGTTTTTATCAAAGGAATCACACAAGTACAAATATTCTGATATCTTTCTGTGCTACACATACACGTAATGGTGCTATAATCCACGGCTGGATCAAGAGATAGGGCTGCTGGTGGGGTGGGAGAGTGGGCTCTTTTAGCCACTGAGCATTTGGACACACGATATTAATTCTGGCTCTGTCTCAGCAAGTTGCAGTCTTTTTGAGACTAACAGCTGTCTTCTCTGGAATGTGCTAGGTCTGTCATAAGAAATTTGTTCTCCCCGATGACATTTGGGAACTTAAAAGTGGGTGGGTGGGTAAAGAGCGTGATCACAGATGGCCTGTCATTTAGCTGTGCCTGTGGATAGGGTACCTTTTCAGTTACTGGGTGAAAGTAAAGGAACATTTTGGGGGATAACTCTGGCTTCTTAAATATTATTTTTGAGAGAAGAACTATCTTGTCTCTGCTGCTTCAGGCTGGGAAAACGTGAGATGGGACAATCCAGTTTGGTATAGCCAAACCTTTTGTGGAAGGCTACCAGGAAGTGGTTGATAGTTTTATTTTCCTGAATAAGGTACTGGGGAAAAGAGGAGGCAAAATGAGGCGAACACTTTCTAGGTTACTCTGAGAAATAAAAGTGATGGCACGAGAATACAGTTGTTATTATGATATGCACACAAGAATAACTCTGTTCTTCCCCCACTTTTGTTAGAGCTGGCCATAAGGAAATTCTCTAGACCACCTTGTCTGATAATTGGTTAGTAGATACTCCTCATTCTACAGAGGTCCTGCCCCATGCCCTGAAGGAAGAGCTGCTGCAAAGAAGACAAGGATGTTGGAGAAGGAGTTGCTGGGTTTCCCCACCCAGTCCACTGGCATTAGATACACAATGAAGACTTCATAAACCCCCAAGGGTCAGGGCTAAGAGAACTTCAGAACACATTCAGTTAGCCAGACATGTGGAGATTGCTGAAAGATGGCAGGTCTGGAGAAGGCATGCAAACTCTGTGTCCCTTCCCCCATATCCTTCCTTATATGTCACTTCATCTGTATCCTCTGTAATATACTTTATAAGAAATCTGTTCCCCCGAATTCCACAAGCCACCCATCCAAATAAAAGAATCCAAGCAGGGAATTGTGGGAAGCTTGGTTTATATCCAAGGGGTCAGAAGCATGGGTAAAGCAACCTGGGGCCTGTTCCCGGCATGTAAGGCTGAGGTGATACAAGTTGGGGACTGAGCTCCCAACATGTGGTACCTGACAGTACCTCCAGGTAGACAGTGTCAGAACTGAATTGGACTGGAGGACAGTCAGTGGGTCTCCACTGCTGCAGGACCGCTTTTTTGCTGATGGGGAGAAATCTTTTGTGGTGATTGTAGTGTGAAGAGCACAAGAAGGAAAAAGACAGTTTTTCCTGACAGGATAGTACATTCAGCAAGCCTGAATTTAACAACCACTCTTTGATCATTCTCGTGTGTGTGTGTGTGTGTGTGTGTGTGTGTGTGTGTGTGTGTGGTATGGGAAGGGGGAAAAGAACAAAATAAAAAATATTCTCATTCTCTGAGGAAGAATGAACATTCTTAGAATATGACAAGTACCAGCACTTCACATATTTTTTCCTTTACTCTTCATAGTCACCCAATTCTCCCTAACTCCACAGTGTAGTACCACTTTTCTTTAAAGTAGAACAGATCTGGCATATTAGGTGGAATCCAAAGGCTGATGTTTACTCTGAGTTCCGTCAGACTCTGCCCTTACCACTGCTGAGTGAATCTGCACTCCCAGGGCTGTGCTGCCTGGAGACCAACTCAGTCCCTGTTTTCCTCATCTCTGTGTTTTCATTAAATCGTCTTTTCCAGTAGTTGAGTTCTTCACGGTCAGATTCCTGGCAGCGCCTCAGAACTGCCATGGAGCGCCTTGTTTTCTCTACCATTTCCATAATGCAATTCAGGGCCTGACCGAGAGAGAAAGTAAGGCTGAGATGAGGAAATTCAAACAATGTACACTGAAAATTGAGGACAGGCAAACACAATATATATATCCTTACACATTTATGTGGGATTGGTTCCAGGAACCCAGTGGATACCAAACGCCATAGACATTCAAGTCTTTTATATAAAATAGGGTTGTATTTGCATAATCTATGCATATCCTCCCATATATCTTAAATTAACTCTAGACTACTTATAAATACCTAATCCAATATGAATGTGATGTAAATAGTTGTTATACTATGAATACACAAGGCCTACAGCACAAAACACATAATTTAAGTACTGTCACATGTTGCTTAACGATAGGGACATGTTCTGAGAAATATGTAATTGGGCAATTCTGTTGTGTGAACATCATGGAGTATACTTCCATAGACTAAGACAGTTACAACCTCCCTAGGTGACATATCTTGTGGGAAGATGATCATAAATGTTGTAAGTCGTTGACTGAAATATCAATATGCAGCAGATATTGTATTACTTTTTTGGATTTAAAAAAAACTGTTTTTTGGGTTCTTCCAAGTTGAAGTAACCATACAATCTCATTATAACATGAAGCTTTAAAAACTGATTAAACCATATTAAGTCTCTGCCTAAATAAATAGTCATCTGATAAAACCAGAGATTTCTATAATAATATAATGAGACACAAGGATCAGCAACAATGATTGCTCAAGGAGAAAAAAACTATAATATGCCCACTTCAAACAGGCACTACACATTTTATTCCCTTTTTAAGGCAGGAAAATTCTTCCAAAGGGAAAAAGAACCCAAGCTTACATTCTGTACACTACTAATTATTGTTTGTATTTGGAGGAGTTCCATTTATTTAATTAACACTTTCTATATGTCCGGCCCTATAGTAACCATGTTATATATTGGTAAAACCCTACTATGAATTCAAATAAAGCTGAATTCTTTTATGTATATATAAAAACTAAGGCTAACAAAGGTAAAACAATTTACTGAGCTGAAGAAGGCAGGAAGAGGGAAAAACTGGAACGTAAACTCATAAGCCTATGCTTCAACCATTTTCTATATGATCACCTGGTTCATAAACTGAAGAGATCATCCTACCAAGAGCTGAGTGTGACTCCGTAGCTCTCCAGCTGAGGGAGTAGTGGAGAGTTTTAATTAAAAGAAAGGATCTCATGGCTCTCATTATATTCACTTCAAGCATACATGAACTGTCGGTAGTATTAAGAATTAACGGTAATAAAAAGTTAGGGAACTTAAACATGCTAAGCTTCTTACATGGTCAAGATGTTTCCATTCATCAGCCCATTCCCTTTCTGTCAAACGGTGGTCTACCAACTCATCCTGATAGCCTCCATTTAGACCTATTAGAAAATAAAGAATAATATGAAGAGTGGGAAGAATACAGTAGAATTAAATTCTGCCAAGTAAACATACACAATCTTAAAAACTTTAATATCATAAACATGAAAAAATACTCCGCACTTACAAGCAGTTTTTATTTTTATTAAAAATAAAAACTTCACTGAGAAAGCAGTTCATATCCAACATAGTGGGAAAAATAAAAATTTCAGATGATACTTTGCTGACAGAAAAGTGATACAATATAACTGCTTAACCACTAAAACTAGACTGTATAATGGAAACAGCAGTGTATCACCAATATTTGATATATACCAAAATTTCTTTTTTACTGTGTGTGTGTGTGTGTGTGTGTTAGTTATTAGGGATTAAACCCAGGGGTTCATGCATACTAGGCAAATGCTTTACTCCTGTGCTATAGCCCGACCCAAATAAACATTGAAATTTCTAGGAATACCATGATTTTGTGAATCAAGGGTACACCAAATCAAGAAGTAACACTATTTTGAAAAACTCATGTTACAGACAGTAACACACTGATTATAGTCTTTGAGTCATTAATAAAACACTCTCACCATCAGTCTGAATTTACAGGTATATTCATATTGGTTCTGCATTAGTGTAAGAATCTGCTTATTTCATCTTATTTTCCAGTGTAGCCATGTCTGAACACAAACACATTTAATAATGTAATAACTTCTTACATATTACAGTTATGATAGAATATTGATCCTAAAATTATGGATTTAAAGTAGGCTACAGTATCCATGAAGTTCATTTTAGAAGAGCAAAAGGGGAAATATATTTGCTTAAGAGAGGTAGGTTCCATGATGAATTAAGTAAGGATTAAGAACCATTGGGGGGGTGGGGGGTGGGAGTAGAAGTTCATTGGATTGCACAAAGGAAAGAGGGGATGAGAATGGGAAAGTCAGTAGAATGAATCAGACAGAACTTTCCTGTGTTCGTATATGAATACACAACCAGTATATTACATCTTGTACAACTATAAGAATGGGAAGTTATACTCCATATATGTATGAGGTATCAAAATATATTCTACTGTCATATATAACTAAAAATAATAAAAAAAGAAATAGATGTCAAATAATTATAAATAAAGTTGTCATATACAACAACAACAAAAAAAACCATTATAATAGAGGACATGTTTTCAAGCACGTCTGGGAAAAATTAAGGAATCTATAATGAGCCTGGCAGGCAGAGTATTGACCCTAAAAGAAATCATAAATAATCATTCAAGTGGGCCACAGTAGCACATGCCTGTAATCATAGCAGCTCACAAGGCTGAGGCAAGAGGACGGCAAGTGCTAAGCAACTCAGTGAGACCCTGTCTCTAAATAAAATACAAAATAGGGCTGGGGATGTGACTCAGTGGTTGACTACTCCTGAGTTTAATTCCCAGTACACAAACAGAAAAATAAAAATAGATAAATAAATAAACAAATAATCATATAAAGTATACTTCAAGATGATAGGGAAAAAAGTCTAAAATTGTTACAAATACAAATGAAATCTGTTAAGATACATATGGCTAGTTTTTAGCTTTCTTTTCTCTCAATCAAACCGGCAGAAAATGTGTATGTGGAGCTGGGGTGTGGCTCAGTAGTAGAGTGCTCACCTAGCATTCATGGGGCACTGGGTTTGATCCTCAGCACCACACAAAAATAAGATTTGTCCACCTAAAACTAAAAAATAAGTTTGAAAAAAGATAAGAAAATGTGTATGAGGAGGTGGGGTGAATAGATACTGGTGAGTGAAGGCAAGGGCACTATACCACTCTTTTTTTTTTTTTTTTTAAAACAAGGTCTCCCTAAATTGCTGAGGCTGGCCTCAAACCTGCAATCCTCCCACCTCAGCCTCTGGAGTCACTGGGATTACAGGCACCACCATGCCCAGCTAGCAAGTCTAGTTTTTAACAGATAAATAAGAGGTGTGGGAAAATAGGAAGTAGGTTTTAAAGGAGGATCCTGATATACTGCCAAGACCGAATCTCTGGGGATCCGAGTTTGCATCTGAATCTTGTTTCTGCCATTTATTAAAGCTATTATCTATTGGCCATAGTTGTTCTTTATCACATCTGCTAAATGGACATGAATGCTTTGGGCTTCTTTGAGAATTAAATTACATACTGCAGTGTTAGCAAAGACTCAGTTAATGCTGGTAGCTGGAAACAACAAGGCTATCAGCCTTCACCATTTAGCTACCACTGCATGAAGTCTGCAGCATTAAGCCTCTGAAAAAAAGCCAGTGAGCCAAGTGGCGGGGGAGGGGCAAATATGTTGCAATATTTTACTCCACAAGGTAAGTGCCTCACAAATGGAAATGTAGGAAAAACCCTGGAAGCAAATAGCCCTTTGATTCTTCCTCCTGAACAATGGTCAGCAGTTAAACTCCAAAAAAATCTTCTGCAATAAACTTGTTTGAATACAATCTAAAAAATTCTAAAAACAGATCACAGATTAGATTTGTTGGGGTCCCGCCCCCGCCAAATTTAATGGTTTGAGGCTAGGATATACAAATTTAACAATCCAGCAAAGGAGATAGTTTTCGCTCCACTGCAGAAATTACTATTCTTGAGGCTTAGAGAACCCAAGCAACTTCCATGAGATCACACAGCTAGTTAGATGTAGAGCCAAGATTTTTTCCCCCTGGGGCGGGGTTGGGGGTGGGGTGCTCTAAAAGCAGAGCAATATGCTCAGCGCTTTTTTGTTTTCACTGAGACAGGATCTTGCTGAGTAGCTGAGGCTGGCCTCAAACTTGTGATCTTCCTGCCTCAGCCTCCTGAGTTACTGGGATTACAAGTATGTACCACTGGGCGGGGCAGATGTAGAGGCAAGATTTAAGTTTAGTTATACCTCACCTCCTTATAAAACATTTATAAACTTTTGCAGCTCACAATGAAGTGGCACCCCCTTTCTCCACAGAAAAGCCTGCTTCACCATGGCTGATTTTAGGACTGCAGCAAAAGAGTCCGTTGTAGATAAACTTCCTATTTTCATGTTGCCCTGTTTACTTGGCCACTGGCAGAGAAGATACCAGCACTCCAGGTGCTAGACACCACCTTACTAGTTTTTCACAAACTTATCCAGTATAGTACTTTGAAGAAATGTGCAAATAAGGCCTCTGGCCTTGAGCTGGGCTTCAAAGAGATGTCTACTACATTTTTAAGATAAGTTACAAATGGGCCCATGGTAACAGCTGGCAGGGGGAGGAAAGAAAAGGGGAGATGAAGCTCTCCCCTTCTCAGGTGTTGTCCTTGAAGAGTTAACATATCCAGAACAGTGAAAGAAAAAGCTGCTTTTATGTGAACTTCTGCAGACTGTGAACTTCTGAGTCCCTCCCCTTACACACTGGGTATAAAACTCTGAAACTCCCTGAACTCGGGGTTCAGGGGATTGATTGATTACAGCAAAGGCTGTACCCTCTGAACCTGGCTGCAGCCAAATAAAACTGTTTCCTGCTATCTTCGGTGCCTTGCCTCGTTTGTCCCTACAACAACACCACATTATTTTACACCTTTTGTGTTTATTATTATTTAAAAAATTTTTTTGATACCAGGGATTGGATCCAGTGGTGCTTAACCACTAAGTCACATCCCAACCCTCTTTTTATTTTGAGAAATAGTCTCCATTAATTGCTATCATTGGCTTAGTGATCCTCCTGCCTCAGCATCCTGATCTGTTGGGATTTACAGGCATGTGCCATCATGCCCGACTTTTGTGTTTGATTTTAAAGACTTTTAATTCTAATATAAATTCAGACTTACAGAAGTTATGAGTAGTATAAAAAATTGTTATAGGCCAGCATGGTGACACATGCTTGTAATCCCAGAGACTTGGAAATGGAGGCAGAAGGATCACAAGTTCAAAGCCAGCCTCAGCAACTCAGCAAGCCTTAAGCAATTTAGGGAGATCCTTTCTCTATTAAGTGCTCCTGAATTCAATCCCAGCAAAAATCCTTACATAGCTATTATACCTTTTGTATAGATTTCCATGTTAACATTTTACCTCATTTGCCTTTTAATTCTCTATTTTGAACCATTTGAGAATAAGTGAAGCCCTTTTATTCTTTATTCCAGTGTACTTCCTAGAATTTGTTCAGTTCTAGTCTCTATCATTGTATATATTTTGCTATTTTTGTAAAATTGATTTTCCCTTTTCAGATTTTTTGCCTCTTTTTTTTTTTTTCCTTATGTTTGAAGGCAGGGGTGCTCTACCACTGAGCTACATTCCCAACCTTCCTTTTTTTTTTTTTTTTTCATTTTTTGACAGGGTCTTGCTAACTTGCACAGGCTGTCCTCAAACTTGAGATCCTCCTGCTGCAGACTCCTGAGTAGCTGGGATTGAAGATAAGAGCCACTGGGCCAAACTTCAGTTTTCCTTCATATAATGGAATAGCAACAATATTTGAAGCCAGTTCAACTTCTAATAAGATCAACTATAATTGTAATATTCTTTTTTATGTATATTATTGCTTTAATTTATCACTGAAAAGAAGCAATAGCACTGGATTTTATTACTGAGTAGGAAAGAAATTCAAGGATTCTGTCTAGATTTAGACCCTCAACATGCTGTTTAGGATACTTACTAAGATTGTGGTGCCTCTCACGAACTTCTCGATGTTCTAGCATCTTATTGGGTTCCCGATATAGGTGAGAAGTTGCAATATCTTCTAACGTATAGTGCTGGAGAGGTGGAGGAGTAGGATGGAACTGGCCCCCAGGATTCATAAGGGGCACAGTGAGGGCAGGACTGTGCCTAGGAGCAGGGCTGATGGTACACACTCTCTTGGCTGGAGGCTCAGGAGGAATAGTATCTCTTTCAAAATTACTCTCTTCCCTTCTGTAGAAGAAACAGAAGTGCATATCTGAGCATGTCAACAAGAGTTCATGCAAACATTTCCTGAGCACTACTCTACATGTACTGTGCCAGCATGTTCTTAAGCAGGAAGACTGTAATGAAAAGGGTCTTGCTACGCTGCTCAAGTTAGATAAACTCCTGGGCTTAAATGATCCCTCTGCCTCAGCTTAGGAGAAGCTGAGAACTATGCCACCATGCCTAGTTTAGGAAAGATTTGAGGCATAAAATGAATAGTCTTTAGGGGCAAAGCATATTATTATTATTATTATAAATTGCTGATTTATTCCAGCATGAAAAGAGGTCAAATCTATCCATAATCAGGCAGAAACATATAATCCTCATGAAGAGAACAAGTAAATGACATTATTTTTCTATGAGAGGGGAATATGGAAGGTAATGAGTTCAAGTATGTTTTAGGAATATTTTAAGGTCAAATGTGTTCCTATGGAGGTGGATTATTAAGAACAATACCGGCTGGAATTGTAGCTTAGTAGTAGAGCACTGTGTGTGTGTGTGTGTGTGTGTGTGTGTGTGTGTGTGTGTGTTGGGCGGGAGGTACTGGCTTTGATTCTCAGCACTCATATAAATTTTTTTAAAAAGCCCATCAACAACTAAAAAAAGGGGGGACACATAACTAATCCTCTTATTACTTGATAGGATTTTCAATCACTCAGCTTCAACTGTCACCAATTTTCCATTGTTGTTAAAATATTGCTTCCTTGATAAACTACTTGGGATATTGTGAAATAAATATTTGGTCTTCATCCAGTTTCCAGGCACATAAACTCCTAAAATCCTTGGAATCTTCAAAGTGTTAAGTGTCTTTTTCTATGTTAATGACTGATGGAAGGAAGCACCAAGGTAACTTCCTCATGGGGGATGGTCCCTGGAAGGACCAAGGCAGCTTTAGAGGGCTGGGACTTTCTGCCCAACCCCCAACCTCTAGGGAAAGAAGAAAGACTGAACATCAAATTTATACTAGTGGCCAATGATTTCATCAATTATGCCTATGTAATGAAACCTCCACAAAAATTCAATGGATGGAGAACATTTTTTTTGGGGGGGGGGATGACAATAGGGATTTAACCCAGGGGTGCTCTACCACTGAGTTACACTCCAGCACCCACCCCCATTTTTTTTGAGACAGGGTCTCACTAAGTTGCAAAGGCTGTCCTTGAACTTGTTATTCTCTGGATTCGGCCTTGGAGAAGTTAGGATTATAGGCGTAAATCAGCAGGGTCAGAACAACAGAACAGGGAAGATACTGGAGGGTGGTGCACTTACCAGGATAGGGTGTGGAAACTCCACTTTCTATCCCCCATATCTTGTCCTATTCATCTTTGTAGCTGGTTTTTATTAATAGCCTGTGTAATATCCTTTATTATAAACCAATAAATGCCAAAGTTTCCAAGTTCTGTAAGCTACTAGAGCTAATTAATAAAATTTGAGGAGCAGATATACGAAACCCAATTTATATAGCCAGTTAGTCAGACACACTGGTAAAACAATCTGGGGTTTGTTTTAATAGCATCTGAAGGAAGCATGCAATTTAGGGGTCTGAGCCTTCAAACCACAGAATCTGCCATAGTATTTCCAGGTAGACAGCATCAGAACTGAAGGACAACCTCTACAGAACTGATTCCTGCCTGATGTATGGGGGGAAATATCCACATTTGGTCAAAGAAGTCTTTTATGTTGATTGCTGAGTGAAGGTATAGGAGTAAACGAGTTTCTTCTGCTTCTGGAGCAGTGGACTACAGTCATCTGAAGAATTGCTGGGACAAAGCAAAACTAACCTTAGAAAGTCTAAGACATTATCCATCTACAACCACAGCAATTAAATTCTTTCGTTCAAAATCAAAGAGGAAGGTCAGTGAGGTTCCAGAGAGCAAGAATAATAGATCTTTTCTTTGCTCACCTCTCTGGACTGGGTCTTTTTCCATTTCCATGAACCTCCATGAGCAGCTCTGAAGAATCGGCAGGAGACGCGATACTGGTGTTGAGCAGAAGGTGTTCGTGCTGAGCAAGGTACTGGGACGGGGTCTGCTTGGCAGCCCGAGCACAGTGCAGCAGTTCTCGCTGCAGCAGGGGCAAGTTGGCCTTGAAAACAAGAGGCAATTTTCCCAGTGCTGAGCCCTACACAACAGGGATTAGCACCTCAAAGGGCTTTCACAAAGCAGGTTAACACAAGACAAAAGCTCTCTGCTTCTTAGTCAGATTCTCATCAGCCTCTTTTGTGAGTGAAGTGTGGTCTATTATGCAGTACTTGAATTACTGCTGCTTGTTTCTTGCCCCCAAAGATGTAAATGAATCCCCTACAAGGAAGGGACAGTGACTCATTTACTTTTGTGGCCTAGTCAAGGGTAAAAGTTCAATAAAAATTTGTTGATCATAATAATTTTGAAACAATTTTTGAAAGACCTTGGTCAGGTATAGCCTACACAAGAATAGGAGAAATTAACTCTACCATTACAAACCCTAGTTTCTCCCTTCTGAGTCTCCATCTATCTCTGATAGCACTATTCAGCCTTCTCTTCATGTTCTCTAGAGTGCTACCTTTGAATTCTGGCAACTGGAATTATTCTAGAACATAAGGGATTTATTTTTTGGGGGGTGGGGTAAGGTGAGGATGTTGGTACTGGAGGTTGAACCCAGGGGCATTCTACCACTGAGGAACCAACATCCCCCTGCCCCTCCTCCTCTTTTTGTTTGAGACAGGATTTTGCTCAGGCTGTCCTTGAACTTGCTATCCTGCCTTAGCCTCTGGAGCCATCTCAACCCACTGGAACCTGAGGTTTTGAAAAAAAAAATTGGGAGTGATGTAGCCTGTGAAAGGAGAATTAATTGTACACAGATATTTCTTCACTTAAACTTTTTTTTTTTTTTAAGAGAGAGTGTGTGAGAGACAGAGAATTTTTAAATATTTATTTGTTTTTTTTAGTTTTTGGCGGACACAACACCTTTGTTTGTATGTGGTGCTGAGGATAGAACCCGGGCCGCACGCTACCGCTTGAGCCACATCCCCAGCCCTTCTCTTAAGCTTTAAACTCAGAATTCAAATTCCTCATACACAGAATGCCAGGTCGGTAGAGGTGACTTAAGAGAACAAAGCAGCCCGCGCTGGAAAGAAACATTCTTCAGGTGCTGATGGAAAGGCCTGTCAGTAAGGGGGATCTCGGGGCTAGCGCCTGTCAATCAGCAGGATCTTCTGACCAATCCTGGAGTTCAGCCAGCTCCCCTGACCAACTCCAGCGGGACAAGGAACTCTAAAAACACCTTTTCCTGTCCTAAGCCCCTCCCTTCCTGCTGTAAGCCCCATAAAATCCCAGTCCGGTCGACCTCCCAGGCGGTTTCTCCGGGACCCTTCTCCTGTGCACTCTGCGACCCTTTTCCTGTGCACTCTGCCACCCTTCTCCTGTGCACTCTGCCGGTCTGATCGTGTTCCCCCCCTGAGTGACATCTCAGTAAAGCCTCTTTCAGCGGCCTTTTAAAATCTGCCTCCTTTGGTTGCTGCCCGCCTCCCTTGAACTCACACAGAATAGCATTTTCCACATTTATTTCATTTAAATAAATTGAAAAGAATTATATTTCTCCCCAAATTTAAACATAATTCAAGCTTAAGCTTGTAATAGAACGCTTTTATTCTAAGGGATAGATTGAGCAAGTGAAGGAGAGGGTTAATATCAGTGACTTTTAAAGAGAGAGTGGGAGAGAGAGAGAGAGAGAATTTTTTAATTTTTATTTTTTAGTTCTCGGCGGACACAACATCTTTGTTTGTATGTGGTGCTGAGGATCGAACCCGGGCCGCAAGCACGCCAGGCAAGCACGCTACCGCTTGAGCCACATCCCCAGCCCCATCAGTGACTTTTAAAACAAATAAATTGACAAAACTCCAAAAACTAGCCAAAAAGCTGCTATAACCACCTACCTTGTGCTGTTTTCCAAAAACAGGTTCTAAGTCTGTTCTATAACCCCAATCTTGTTGCAACTATAAAAATTTAACGGAGGGCTGTGGTTGTGGCTCAGTGGTAGTCTAGCTATTGTGAATTGTGCTGCTATGAACATCGATGTAGCAGTATCCCTAAAATACGCTCTTTTAAGGTCTTCAGGGTAGCGCACTCACCTACCATGCGTGTGGCACTGGGTTGGATCCTCAGCACCACATAAAAATAACATAAAAATCTTGTATCCACCTATAACTAAAAAATAAATATTAAAAAAAATAAGGGAGTTTGTCTCTTAAAAACAAAAAACAAAAAAAACCTGAAAAAAGCCATGTCAGATCTTTATATTTGTGATGAGTACCTTTTAGTGAGTTTTTTAAAATGCTAATTATTTTTTAACACAAATTTCACAGATCTTTCTTGACTTTACAGTCTTAGGGTTCAATTCGCAGTACCACAAAAAACAAAATGAAACATTTTCTAGGGAAATGAAAGTAAGATAAAAGAGAGTAAAGGGGTTATATTTATATGGCTTTGTATTAGTGTTAGGCTTTGTGAGGTAAGAGGCAAAATTAAAGCTATTAATATAGGTACTCATAAAAAGAAAACAATTTCCATATATTGTACTAAACAAAACATAATATACAGCTGAACAGTTTTTTTTTTTTGAGGGGGGGTTAATTAATTATCAATCTACTACTAACAAGAATGGAGACTCCAGACAGATAGAATAACATTTAGCTTAATTGGGGTTCAAGTTACTAATTCCTATAATCAAATGAACTGCAAATATTTAAAAGCCATTCTTAGTTGTACAAAACCATGTGGTGTACTAGATTTGGATCATATTTCACTAAACTTGGTTTACAACAAACTGGTATGTGACTCTATCTAGTCTTTGGTTGCCTCTGAGTTACAACTCTAACTTAGAGATAACTGACAGTGGTGGAAGTAACTGTTGCCTATGGACAAGCAAATTATGGCTGAGGAGGTTTAACTGACTTCTCTTGCCCATTGGAAAAGAAGATAGTTCTACTTGTGTTTGCAAAATCCTATCAGTATTTTTTTTTTGGGGGGGGGAGGTACTAGGGATTGAACGCAGGGGCACTCAACACTGAGCCACATCCCCAGACCTTTTTATATTTTATTTAGATACAGTATCTCACTAAGTTGCTTAAGAGTCTGGCTAAACTGCTCAGGCTGGACTGAAACTAAATCCATCAGGCTGGATAGGAACTCTCCATCCTCCTACCTCAGCCTCCAGAGCCAATGGGATTACAGGCATGTGCCATGGTACCTGGCCCTATCAGTAATTCTGATATATAAATGTTTCTATTATTTTAATTCTCTTTTGAATTGTTTGAGATATCTTAATCCTTCCTTAACTATGAACTAAATAAAATCTTTGCTATGCATTCACTGTTACCTATGAATGATAATATTATCTATTTTTGGAAAATTATGATAAAATTGGAGAAAACAGTAACTTTATGGTGGGAAAATATGACAGACATTGACCCAACGAAGGGTCAAATCACTACCTAGCTCTTCTATAGCTTGTCATAATCCACTATGGGCTTTGCTTTCCAAAATCATCACCAGATTCTACTCATAAAGAGTGTTAGAACAAAACAAATTAAGGAGTATTCTATAAAGTAACCTATGTAAACCTTTAAAAAAAAATGTAAAGTTCACGAAAAGCTGAGAAACTGTTCCAGTGGACTAGAAAGGCAAATAAATGTAACATGTGACACTGAATTCAATGCAGGATCATGCTTCTAGGCCCCACAAAGTCTTCTTTTGCTGTAAAGAACATTAGTGAGACATTGGTGAAACATAAATAAGTTCTACAGATCAGGTAACAGTATATTATAAATATCTGATCTGATAATTGCATTTATTTATTTATTTTTATGTGGTGTTGAGGATCAAACCCAGGGCCCTGTGTGTGCTAGGCTAGCACTCTACAGCTGAGCCACAATCCTCGCCCCTGATAATTGCATTTAGATGTATCAAGCATTTCTAAAGAAATACATATTGATAATACAACTGTAGTAAAATGTTAACTTTAGTGTAGAATCTGGGTGAAGGCAATACAGGAATTTTATTGTACTATATCTGTAAGCACGAAATTATTTCAAAATAAAAAATCTTTATGAAAGGGCCATGATTCCATATAAATATACACTGCCTCACTTAACAGGAAAACTGATTTTTAGAAGTGTCACCAAAAGTTATGATCCAGAAAATAGTTTCAGAGGATACTAATAAAGACTAGACTAATTGGAGCTTGGGGAGACACAAACATTGCCTTCTCACTTCCTACAGACCTTAGCATAAGATCAAAATTCGTCCTCTCAGATAATACACTTTTCTACCTCCGCCACACCCTAAAGATTTACTGGCCAGTAATTTCTTAGGTCTTCATTAACCCCACTCACCTCCTCCTCCTGTCTCTACTTGCCCCTTCTGTGTATTATCAACAGTGACTGCACAAAGATCACAACACAAGGCTATTAAAATTCTCATTTCATCAAGCATGAGGCTAATGTATTTGGAAAACTGCATTTACACCTCTCTACCAGCCCCCAATAAAACATTGATATGAAAATGTGGCAACCCACCCTGATTTAGATCACATAACAGGGATCCCTGGATCTTGTGGAAATGTTGAAGAAAACAATTACATTCAGTGGTTCTCATAGAATTACCTTGAGGAATGGAATCACAAAAGGACGAAGAGGAAAGTTCGTAGCCTCTTGGAGCTTGCAATGGAATTCTTCAATTGTCACTGTTGAGTTCTGAAAAGGAATAAATTCAACTTCCAACACTGACTCAGTGCTGAACCCTTTTAAATCATACAGAACTTAAGAACTCTAATCTTACTCAAAGGTTGACTCAATACTGTTTCCCCACGCCCACCCCACTGGTTACTAGATATTTAACCCAGGAATGCTTTACCACTGGGAGCCACATCCCCAGCCCTTTTTGTTTTTTTGTTTGTTTGTTTTGAGACAGCCTTGTTTAGGGTCTTACTAACTTGCTGATGCTGGTCTTGAACTGGCAATCCTCATATGTCAGCCTCCTGAGCTGCTGGGGTTACAGATATGCCTCACTGTGTCCGGACAAAATGCTGTTTTCTTTCTTTCTGTTTTTTGAGCATTTTAAAAATTTGTTCTTTTTAATTATATAGGACAGTAAAATGTATTTTCACATATCATACATACATGGGGTACAAATTCCCATTCCTGTGGTTATATATGATATGAAGTTACACTGGTTGTGCTCCAATTCATTCCACTGTCTTTCCCATTCCCACCTGCCCCTAGTCTAATCAGGTGGAACCCCGCCCTCCCATTGTGAGTCAGCATCTGCATATCAGAGAGAACATTTGGATTTTGCTTTTTGGGGATTAGCTTATTTCCTGGCATGATAGCCTCCAGTTCCACCCATTTACTGGCATTTGCCCTAATTTCATTCTTCTTTTTTTTTTTTAATTTTTTTAATATTTATTTTTTAGTTATCGGCGGATACAACATCTTTTTTTTTTTTGTATGTGGTGCTAATGAGGATCGAACCCGGGCCGCACGCATGCCAGGCGAGCGCGCTACCGCTTGAGCCACATCCCCAGCCCTAATTTCATTCTTCTTTATGGTCAAGGAACATGCCATTGTGTATATTGATCACAAAATGCTGTTTTATTAATGGCAGAAATTCTACGACCCCCAAATCTAAATTCTTCCTTCTAGGAAAGAATAGGCACTTAATTCCTCACAACCCATGAAAAGAGGCCCTCAGGTCCCCTCATCTTGAGGGGGTTCACTGAAGTCTTCTCAGTTCCACAGAATCAAGTATACAGTTCTTCCTGAATTAACAACCTAGTGTCAAACTTTTTGAAAAGTTCCCTTTTTTGGTACTGAGGATTGAACTCAGGGGGACTTAACCATAGAGCAAAATCTCCAGTCCTTTTTATATTTTATTTAGAGACAGGGTCTTGTTGAGTTGCTTAGGGCCTTGCTAAATAGCTAAGGCTGGCTTTGAACTTCTGGTCCTCCTGCCTCAGCCTCCCAAACTACTGGGATTACAGGTGTGCACCACTGCAACCCACTAAAAATTCCCTTTTAAGGCAAGGATTCACACACACTGTGCAAGAATTCTACCAGTGAGCTACATTCCTAGCCCTGAAGTTCATTTTTTTCATAGGCTCAACATACCTCCTGGGTATAACTTTCTCAATGTTTTTAAAGGAAAAGAAAAATAAGAGCAATAGGTACATTCTACCTTGAAGTGCCCTGTGTGCTATCAGAACAACTCCAAAAGGCAAAGCATCACTGATTGATTGGTTTTTATTACTCTAGCACTTCCCCATATTTTTTAAAAAGAAGCTATACTTTGGAGAGCAGCCATTACAGGAGCTGGAGCTGCGTGTTAAGGCTGCATTCAGAGGACAACCTGGGATGGGGATATAGCTCCATGGCAGAGCACTTTCCTGGCATGTGTGAGGCACTGGGTTCAATCCTTAGCACCACATAAAAATAAAGAAAATTAAATAAAGCATTCTGTCCATAGACAAGTACCAAAAAAAAAAAAAAAAAAAAAAAGGGAGGGAGAGAACCTCTCCAAAGCACCTAAAGTCCCTATGGGAAAAAGCCAGTAGGGATGTTACCGCTGTTGATCGGTGACGAATCCTTGCTTCCCCAATGTTGAAGTATAACACCAGAGAAGCACGACGAGGCAAGATCAGAGTGGAAAATAGAAGCTTATTAAAGGACAGCAGAAAAGATTCTCCTGGAGGAAGAAGGGGTCCCAAGAGATGGAATCCAAGGAAGTGTGGTAGTTTCCCCTTTTTTAGTTCTTTCATTGATGGAATGTAGGGATGGCCCAAAGGGTGGGGCACAGGTGGGGCAAACAAGTAATCTTCATTAACATTTCTTTGGGATGGGCTCTGGGCTTTTTGGGGACCTCATTAACATTCCAAGAGTTGTTCAACTTTTCCTGGAATTCATTCTAAACATGGCCTCCATTTTGGATCTTACTCGATATTAGACCCGATTTACTTAACTGCACTACCTAACTTTAAATCTGGCTTCAGGGAAACTGGCTGGGACTGGTGAAGTCCTGGGCAAGAAACTGGAGGAAAGCGGCTTTGACAAGGCATATGTCATTCTTGGTCAGTTTTTGGTGCTAAAGAAAGATGACCTCTTCTGGGAATGGCTGAAGGACACATGTGGCACCAATGTCAAGCAGTCCTAGGACTGCTTTGAGTGCACTGAAGAGTGTTGTGATGCATTCTTGTGATATTCTCTGGGAACTCCTTAATCCCCAGCTCCATATCAAGCCTCCAGAGCTTGCAGCTGAGTGAGGGCTCCTTGTCATCTACACAGGAAAGATTGCTGTTGTCCTCCTGCAGGGTCCTCCCCGCACCACTGCAATCTTTCTGGAATTACTGCTCTTGCATTCACCCCCTTCCTCTCTCCCCTGCAAGGTCCATGGACACAGTTAACCAGCTTTTCTGACTGGATTGCTGACCCCCACACCTTTACCTATGGTCTGTTTGATGCTACATAGCCTTTTTATAATCAGAAAGAGATTCACTGTTTTTTTTTTTTCCCATATTTTAAAAAATACTTATTTTTTAATTTTAGGTGGACACAATATCTTTATTTTTTATGTGGTGCTGAGGATTAAACCCAGTGCCCCATGCATGCTAGGTGAGCACTCTACCAATGAGCCACAACCCCAGCCATCCATATTTTTAATTATCACCATTGCACCAATACAGCTTTATATACATATATCTTTTTTAAAAAAATGTTTTTTATTTTTTATTTGTAGTTGGACACAATACCTTTATTTTATTTATTTATTTTTATGTGGTCCTGAGGATCGAACCCAGGGCCTCGCATGTGCTAGGCGAGCACTCCACGGCTGAGCCACAACCCCAGCCCTATATACATATGTCTTAAACTTCATTTTCAATTTTTCAGCAATTCAAATACATAATATGTTATTATTTTGAGAATACAAAGAACACAACACAAAGGAAGATTGAGAAAATAGGTTCCCAGGAGTTAATCACTAGTGATTTTACAGACTTCCTTTTAGTGTTTTCTACTGGGATTTTAAAGTGTCCTACCATGGCTCTGTAAGAAAAGGGCTTCCTATATGGAGAGGAATGATAAATATGGACCCAAAGTTAGAAAAATTTAAGAATGAAACCCAGGAGAAAAAAAAAATGTATTTTGAAGCCAAATATAAGAATCCCTCTTCAGCCAGAATGTTCATACCCAAATAGGTGCTAGGGAAGAAATTATATCCTCCCATTTCATTCTCAAAATTGCCTATTAACAAACAAGTGGTGCCCATTCATCTAGAGGTGGTGAACTGTCCTCATAGCATGGTGAAAGGAACAGCAGGACAGAGAGAAGGAAAAGTGATGGGAGAGCAACTTGCTATTAAGATACCCTAGCTGGCGGGTATCAAAGTCTAAAACAAAACTTATCCCACATAAAGCTGTGATTCTCCAACTTCCTTCATAAATGACAATATATGTAATAGCGGCTTTCTACTGAAGAGCTATATGGATTGGAAAATAAATGTATGGAAAGGAGTCAGTGAAAGAATTCTCCACGCAAAGACACTTCGCCGGGAGAATTCCAATTTTATTGCAAAAGGCTGTGTGCTTATATATAACTAAGGGGGAGATGGTAGGGCTTAGATAAATGGCAGGCCACACGTTTATTGGCAAGTTCTTCCAGATATCAGCTCGGGAGCCCAGGAATTAGTTCTTATTGGGGCTAAGGTTCCCTGCCAGCGAGATTTGAATTTGGCGCCTTTGGCGCCGGTGCGGGAACTTTTCGCGCCACTGCAGAAAAGAAGGTAGGAAGAAGAGGTCCTTAGGCCCATGTTGGGGTTTTTCTCTGGGGTGCGGCTGCCGTTTATACTTTTCCCAACAGTCAGATATCCAGGCAGCAAGGCAGTGAGATGGAATGTTTTTAAACCTCTCTGTTCTACAGATCAGGTTAAAAGCACAATTCTTCAAATTAGGTCAAATAAAGGGGTGAATATAAATTAATGCTGTGCTTCAAATGTAGCAACTAGATGGAGATGCAAAAAATTAAACACTTAGAATATAACTTGGAAAGCAGAGCCCCGTGATATTTCCTTCACTACAGAAATATCCATTGTTCTAAGATGTTGCACTATTCAATAAAAGAACAGGGGCTGGGATGTGGCTCAAGCGGTAGTGTGCTCGCCTGGCATGAGTGCGGCCCGGGTTTGATCCTCAGCACCACATACAAACAAAGATGTTGTGTCCGCCGAGAACTAAAAACTAAAAATTAAAATTCTCTCTCTCTCTCTCTCTCTCTTGATTAAAAAAAAAAAAATAAAAGAACAGTACTGGTGCCACCAATACACCCTCTTATCATAGGAAGAGACACCTAAACCCACAAGAGATTGATGGAGCTGCACCTAGCGCTGCGGTTCATTGAACAGAACAAGCCTAAAGGAGTCTATATATAGAAGAGACCCAGGACACCCATCTTTCTCCAAACCTACCCTTATCAAACTCTGAATTTGTAAATAGTGAGGTCAGGCTGTCCATTTTCAGTGTCTTTTTTGGGTAGTGGAAAAGAAAGTTTCAAGGCTTTATCTCCCCTGAAATTGTTAAATAGGGTTTCACAATCAGGCACACAAGGATCATGAGGAGATTCTGAAATCAGCTCAAGAATTTAAAAGATAAAGAAAAATTCTCCAGATTAGAGGTTATTTCCCCTCAAAATTTTTGACAGTGGTTGTT